CAGCCCTTGCTGAATGATATAATCGTTATTTGTAATTTTTATTTTCTTCTGAATCACTGACTCAGTTACAATATTGTTTTGTGGTTTGAACAAATCTTCTAAAAACGTATGTGTGTAAGGCTCTAACAACGTGTATTTGAGCGAAGAAGATGTACTATCTACTAATTCTTTTCCGTTGTTAGAAATGATATATCTCGACGGTGTCATTATGCGTGGAACTCCGTGCGGCAACTTCGACGCTAATTTGATGAAGTCAGTCGCTAAATAGACTAAGTTCTGCAGCAAATTCACGTCGTACAAATCTTCTTCGTAGATCGAAAATATGTACGTGATCAGTTTCTGGATTGTTTGAAAAGCCTGCAAGATGATTTCATCTGATTGCGATAATATTAGCTCGTTTATTAATTGAAAAATACGTTCAATGAACCCCAGATTTATAAATGATTTATAAACTAGTGGTATAAGTTGGTTTATTATATTGATTATTTTAATTTTCGAATACAAACTTATATGATGGTTCCGTTGGTTGCTGTAGTCAAATAAAGCTAGAGAATTTATGATTTTTCTGTAACAGTCTTGCCATTTTTTGTGCTTCGTTAATTGACTAACCATGACGAAAATCTCAAAACACTGTAAAACCATACAACGCTCAGACTCGTTCAGCCGTATGGAATCATATAACATACATAACGTTTCAATGCACACATCCTTTTCTCTTCCATCGGCATTTTCTTTTTCGTTGTGAAAACACGTAAAACTTGTAATTAAATCATCAATTTTAGATTGGATCATCTCTTCACTAAACACTGACCGTCGCGAAAACGATATGTTAAGTCGGAATATTTCATAGTACATCAAGTTGCAAAGACTACATCTCGTAATATTCTTAACATCGTTCGTAAAATTCATATTTTCTTGAGCTTTCTATTTTCAAACCAATACATCATTATTTATAAACAAATTGAACGATGTACAATGCTAATAGCAAAACCCTAAAATAATAAGATAATTAAAAAAAAATATCAATTTTAGAGTTGGACCCGTTACTTTAATTCAATTGCGAACTAAAATAAATGGCTAGATAATAGTTATTTAATCTTGGATTTTAGCAGAAAACTTATGGTTTTTGGAAAACTAAAATTAAAAGATTTTTGTAGTTCGGAAAACAGTATTTTTTCCAATACGTGTTCGTTTATAATTTTAGGATCAGAACTGTCAAAAGTAAAACATTTCTTAGAAAGTATAAATAGATTAAAGCATATAGACATTTATTGCTTACGAATAAAAACTGATTTTGCGCACGATGATGGCAAATTCAGTTTTAAATCGATCATTGTAAATGAAGATGAGGAGCTATTAACTTGGTTAGATCAAAAGCTTAGTAGATACCTGAGAGTGGGATTTGCTGTATTGAAAAACCCATATCTGTCATTATTGCTGGATAGGTTTCGGTCATCGACTGTTCGATTTGAGTATTATATTATAGATCTGACTGGAACTCTGTATTTCAAGATACCAATAATCAGAACAAAACGAATAATCAACTTTAACGACCAGTTAACAAAAAATTCAGTATACAAATTCATTATAGGAAGTTTGCTTGTTTCAAAATTAACTTATAACAAAAGGGGTTGTAAATACAAATATAACAAAAATACGTTAATTTTACATAAGCTATTAGCTCGTAGAGCTCGAATAACAGAGAAAATTTTTAACCTAGTTGACATTTCAATTGCGCAAGTAAAAAATTACTTAGAAACTTACAAGAATTTACTAAATCAGATTATACAAATTAACATTGGACACAATCAAACTATCAGTTACAAAATTATGTTTTTATTACGAAAGTGGGTTCATATGTTTAGCTTTTTTCCCCTGATATTTTCTAATCATATTGTTAGGACGATTTTACCAATAAATTTACAATTATTAGTGACCAAAATAACCAATATTGATAACAAAATCTATAGATTGATGCATGTACCTAATTTGGCGAGCAAGCAAATTCATGTACTCTTAAAAAAAATGGGTACTTATTCAGTGATGTACCAGTCAGCGTCAAATGAAAACATACAGTTACAAAAGTGTATTACAAATAACTCAAGTAAACCAAATGTGCTCGTTCTAGATACAATGGCTTTCTTGCATGCACAAAGCAACCTTGCACTTGTAGAGAACGATGTAATTAAGTTTCTTTCGTTTTTTGGAATATTGGAACAAAAAAAATATTTTAGTTTATTCGAAAACATATTCTACTCATAAAAATAAAAGTTATTATATTGCATTAAAATTGCACTGTTGATGAATGTAACGCCATAATAATCTGTATTGGTGCACCTTCTTACTACACATGTATACATCTTTTGATGTGCCAGAATTTACTCATATTAGAAACGGTAAATTAAGGCTAGAGTTTCATGTAATTGAAAAGAACCAATTTTATACTATCTCTAAAGATTTAAATAGAACTTCAACCGATTTTGAAAGCATACGCACTGATTTGTTTCAGTTAGACGTCGTTAAAAGCACGGTAACACAGCTTTTTAAAACTTTTCCAACTCAAACTATAGTGTGCGTTACAGACGATGGTTACATCTTTTACTGTCTAATAAAGCCGTTATATGACAACGTAATTATGGTTTTGACGCCTATGGAATACGCGTGGCTCGTTTCTAAATCATCAACCAACAAAGTAACCGAAAGCCATTTTCAAATCGATTTATTACAAGATAGTTCGACAGATGTGGCAGATTTTTCCCATCCTGAAACTTGTGTCACTTTATATGGCATAGAAGATATAGTACGTACTCAGATCCTTGATTCTGGTCTTAAAAAATCCGTAGAAGATCTAAATAAAAAATTACTAAAATTAAATAATATTTTTACGAGGTCGAAATTGAAAAAAAAATCGCGAAATAGTTTGATTACAATTAATGTGTTGCTTACTGTATTTTTAATTTTTGCAGTTGGGGCATCGTTTTACCATTTCAACTTGTCATTGTACCATTGTTTGTTGTTGTCGATCTTAATTCAGTTCAAAGATCATTGTCGCAAACGTAACGCTCGCACTTTCCGTGCTGTACTTGCAACGGTAACTATGGTCGTTTATTTGCTTGCGCTTACGTCGATACATAACAACGAAAAAAGTTTGCTTTTTGACAATAACGGAGTGTATTTTAAACATGCTTCAAAAAATTTACTGAATTCCCTACGATGTTTAACGCTAACGTCGCTTAGTATGAATATTTTTTTATTGTCTTTGTATTTAGCAAAACGTTCTTTCATAGAGACCGTTTCTTAAAATTACTGCAACCAAAATCATTCTCGTGAGATACAGAGATAAGTTTTAAACAGTTTTATCCGAAGTGAGCCAAAAATGAACAAAAATACATATTAAAATATTGTGTGACGGAGTTAGCGAGTCACATTAATTTTGTCTGCACGTTTAATTTTTTTAGAAGAGATAAAATAGCGAATATGTTCAAAGATTGCTGTTCTTGTAACAACCCAATATCAAACATTGTCCACGACTGTCCCTTATTGCACGACTATTACGGCAAATTGATAGATGGGAACAATGCAAAGTTTAATCCTGTGATAGTACAGACAAAAGACGAAATGCAGCGTGTAATTTTAGACTTAAGTGCCAACGCCCCCGTTATAGTAGAATCAATAAAACTCGACGAAGGGTTAACCTTCAACGATCCTTTTTTAGTGAAAGGAATGTACAAACTAGTGTCTGTGGAACAGAAGAAATTTCCAAGAGGAGTAGTGGGAAACATAGACATTGGAAAAGCAGGACTTGTGGACTACGATGTTGACATTTTGCCAAAACACTGGGTTCCCGAAAAAAACCGAAATGAACAAGTAAGAGCGCAAGTTTTAAGCAGTGAGTTCGATAATTTGAGTAAGATAAACGCTCAAATTCAAAAGGAGCGCGGCGAGTCTGACTGCTTAAAAGCGTATGAATATTATCGTAATAACGAAGATCCGAAAAAGGATTGTTATTATTGCGACCCAGCAGCTGAACCCATTGCAGATCGTCCAAAACAATTCAACGAAGAACTCTTAAACAGCTGCAAACAATGTTTGCTGTCCACTCAAACTGATTAAACTAACCTTATATTAAATTAGTAAAGTCTAATCAAATGTTTACGTCTGTGATAACAAATTGCGTCGATCTGGCTGGAGTAATATTTATATTAGATTACATTTTAATTATAATAAGATTAACAAAATCTTTGCTTTCTAAATAATTTCACACACTTCGACTTGAAAAAGATATCCTTAATAACATTAATTTTATAAAATGAAACTAAAGGGTACGCTTGCTGTTTTAAGCTTATTGATAAACTCAACCAGATCCGAATATAACGTTTGGGAAAGTGATTCAGGATATGAAGGCTATACTCCAGCGCTGGTGCATGTAGCATCTTCCACAGTGAGCGAACTTGCACGCGGTGACAGAAAAGCCGGTTTAGATCTGGAAACGCCAAATTTACGAGGTGATCACCCAAATTCTGCGTCAACTGACGCTGATTCGCTTTCAGGATACAATATGTACAGCATGCAAAGCGACTCAATTGAGAATTACCCTTATACAGAAGAAAAAGCAGTGAACAAAAAGTTAATTACGACTGAAGATTTCAAAAATGAAGTGTTCAACCTGCCTGTTGTGCATTCAGAAAACGAATTTCCTGAAATAAACCCAGCACTAAAAACTGAATTGGACCAAAAAATAAATCCGCACAAAACTTACTCAAACTCGACTGACGAACCCGACGTCAATTACGTATTCGACGTCGAAGACCTTAAAACCAACGACACTCCAAAGGAGTCTATAAGTGAAAAGTTAAACACCTATGCCAAAAAGTACTATAAGGTTATGAAAGAACTAATTGTCAAATTAAATACATACGCAATCAACGTGTACAAATATTTGTCATCCTTTGTAAATGGAAAGAAACTTGAATCAGAAGTAGACGAAGAAACAGAACAAGCTAATGATTCAACTCTAAATTAAAAATGTCAACATTTGGGTAGTAATTTGTGTAGTAAGGAGAAGTTCTAATCGCACTTTTTTTGAAATCAGTATAATTTTTTATGACGCCACAAAGCAATAACGGAAAAACAATGCTAGCGTCCGAGTTCACTTTTACGTACTGAGCCTCGGAATTTATTTTTCCCCAGCTAATCGCTTCGTCTGGCGAAGCGCCCGAATCGCAGCCGTCGAATTCCTGGCCTGTATTGATGTAAACAGCGAAATCCGCTCCGTTTTTCATTAAATTGGCGTTGCACACGTGATGTTTCGGAAGCCCCCCTCCCAATATGATTATGCCGGATTTTTTAGCAGTTCTTGCAGTTTCGTTCATAAATATTATATCTTCTATTGTATCAATTTTCAACTTGGTATCTTTATTTTTGTAGTGAAAATATAAGCAATCTCCAAGGGAACCGTCTGTTATTGCTGGACAAAAAACAGGAATCTTGTTTTTGTAGCACCAGTAGTACAAGCTCGATTCGTCGTTTATGATTTTCCCCATCAGGGCAATCATTTTCGAAGGCGTCCAGTTGTAGTTTAGCTTGATCTGCTGTTCCAACATGAAATCGAGAATTGGCAAAAGCCAACTTTCAAATTTTACGTAGTTCTCGTTCGGGACGTAGATATTTCCAATGCGATTCCAACCGTCTGCACGCAGTTTTGGTCCTTTTATTTTGTGGAAGTCTCCAACTACAAATTTTCCAAAACAACGAATAAAATCTTCTTCTATGCCACCAGCGGTTGTGACAATGCAGTCCACCAAATTTTGTTTTGCCAAGTAGACAAAAGTGTCGCGCAAACCGCAGCTGATCATGTTACTCGTAAAAGATAAAAAAATGGTAGCTCGTGTGACGGGCCTAATTTCTGGGCTAGCCCACGAAAAAATGGTTCCGTCGTTGTTTTGCATGTCCACCAGCTCTTCTTCTTCTTCTTTCGTCAGAGGTTCCGAAGACAAGCGCCATTCGTACATTTGCTTTAAGATCTTTGCGGCCTTACCCACGTTTGTGGCTTGAAATCCAAAATATTGGTACGAATCCAGCACTTCGCTAATCGTAGAGTTCTCATTAAAACGCTTCATCGAAACCAGTTTGGCAGATTCTGATACTGGTTTTGAGTGACACATCACTACACTGTGCGCGTCTTCAAAGTTCTTGTCTTTTTTGTTTGCATCGGCACAACCATCTAGGGAAACAACAAAATTCGACATAACCTATTCAAAAAATTAGAGAATTTTGCGAACAAAGTTATGTTATTCGAGAAAATTGGATTTGTAGCGGCGAAAAAATCTCGAATATTATTAACGAAAAGAGAGAAGTTTATTTTCTGAAATATTTAATTTATTCGTTGCCTTTGTCAGCTTCATTGCGAATGGATAGGATATGGTTTTAACAGTTACTAACAGTTTAAAAAATGCGCCTGCTGCATTTGTGCCTCACGAGGGAAACACAGTCAACTGGTACTGTTGCGGTCCAACTGTGTACGACGACTCCCACTTGGGCCATGCAAGAAGCTACGTTGTTTTCGACACTATTAGAAGAATTTTAGTCGATTTCTTTGGTTACCACGTCAACTTTGTTCTCAACATTACCGACATTGATGATAAAATAATAAACAAGGCAAAAGCTTTAGAAACAGATGTAGATGTAATCGCCAGATACTATGAAGCAAAGTTTTTCCAAGCTCTTAACAAACTTAATTGCCTGCCACCGTCGTCTATTTTGCGTGTTACTGATTACATTCCAGAAATAGTCAGTTTCATAGAGCAAATAATCAGTAACGGGTACGCTTACGAATCAAACGGGTCAGTTTACTTCGACTTGACTAAATTCAAAAGTTCAGAAAAACATGAATTTCCAAAACTGCAGGTTCACAGTGACTTGAACTCTTTAGAAGCCAACGACGCTTCTGGAGAAAAGCGTTGCCCGCTTGACTTTGTTCTTTGGAAAGCTGCAAAGCCGCACGAGCCGTTTTGGGACAGCCCGTGGGGCAAAGGACGTCCGGGATGGCACATTGAATGCAGTGCACTTTCCAATTTAAAGTTGGGCAATCCTATCGATATACATTCGGGAGGAATCGACTTGATTTTCCCGCACCATACGAATGAGATCGCCCAATCAGAGGCTTTCCACGACGCGCCAAACGTTTTTTTGAATTTCTGGCACTGTGGACACTTGAACATTGAAGGCAGTAAAATGTCGAAGTCGCTGAAAAACTTCATTGCTATCGATAAGATTCTCGAGGAACGTCCGTTCCAGGTTGTCAGAATATTGTTCTTACTCAACAGATGGGACAAACCAATGAATTTTATCAATACAGAAAGCTCTTGGAACGAAGCCAACAGCTATCACAAAATGTTTCACAATTTTGTTTCAAGGGTGAATGCATTGATTCTCGCCGAAAAAACTAGAAACAACAAAACAGTCAAATTTGATTTTGATGAATTCAAACAAGAATACACATCTCTCAGGTCGACCATTGAACGAAAAAGAAAAAAACAGCTGAGCGACGTTTTGAACGTTTTGAAAAGGTCGGTGTACAAATCGCTTGAAAAGAACTTTGACACCAGCGCGGTTCTGCTACATCTAAAAACATTTATATCTACATTTAACAGTTATGAAGCTAATGACAGCGAAAAAAGCATAGACGCGACTGATTTGTTTTCTATTTCAGAATATTTCCAAAAAGTACTCCGTACGCTCGGTTTGTGCCTAGAGCAAAACCAAATTAATTATCACGTCCGTGAATCTGCAGCTAACGCAGACGTTGACGCTGTTATTTCCGAGTTTATAGGGCCGATTAGAATGCAAGTTCGATCCGCTGCAAAAAAACTGCTCAAGATTCCCGACAGCAAGCCTCTTGGCATGGAACTAATGAGCGTTAGCGACCAGATGCGTCAGGGTTTGCTCGACAAATTCGCTATCAAACTGGAAGATACAGCTGGCTCGTTTACATGGAAAAAAATATAATTTAATTTATATATATAAATTAATAGCGTGACTATTGGTTGTGTTTGTAATGGAAAATCCGGACCCTAGTGTAGCTAAAGTTTGTGCGTTTCAGTTCGACCCTCGAGTCACTTTTTTAGACATTTTGCTAAACCGTTCTTCAGATCCCATCACGGAAGATGTAAGTCTTTTGCGCTTTATTTACATTAGGAATTCTATTATTTCGTTTCCAACATTCGTGATCCTGAGCACCCTTTGACGCTTGCCCAACTGCGTGTGATTACCAAAAAAAACATTAAATTGGAAAACAACGTGCTGGCTCTTGAGTTTATACCGACCATAACTAATTGTTCACAAGCAGCTCTGATTGGATTGTGTATCAGTTACTTGCTGTTTCTGATCGTGCAAGTAAACTACCCGGTGGTATGCAAAATCGCCAGCGGAATGCACAACCAAGAACGTTCGATCAACAAACAACTAAACGACAAAGAACGCATAATCGCTGCCACAGACAACGACGGATTGCGTTCTATCGTTCTAAAAAGCATCAGCTCGACGGTGGCAGACAACGTGCTGGAAACCACGATCAACACGTCTTTCTGCGCGAAAAAAGAAAACCCTCGTCGAAATTTTTTGTCGTTGCGCTTTTAAAACTGCAAACTGCAAGCAAACAATCTGTGAGAAAAGGAACTGCTTGTCATGAAAAACTCGAAGTCAAATAAAATAATCATTTCCGAGCAGTCTAACCACCGAGCTCCGCAAGATATTATTCGTATCAGACATTGTGCAGTAAATCTTGCCCCGATCCAGTACGGCTACCCGCAAAACAAAAGATTGACGATCAACAATGACGAAATCAACTTGGTCAAAGGGAACAGCGTCAAAAATGTGTTGCTTGAGTCTATTGAATCTTCGACCCTTGTCGCTGATAAGTGGATTTTCGAGCAGGGTCTTCAAACTGACGAACTGACTTAATAAAACAGTTTTTGCGTCATTTAGCCCGCTATAAAATATTTATTTACGACAAGATTTAATTTTTCTCTATTAAATATAAATTCATACCTCGTTACCTCTGTCTGATTGTTTTTCAAACAGGGATGAATTTAGGTTTTTACTGTTTAGTATGTAGAACTTATAAAAATTTGTTTAAAAGCTCTACTGACCTCGTGTTACTTAAGATTCTACTCCTCATCATATGTTCGTGTTTGTCTTATTCCGAGGAAGATACAACGGCTTCGCGGTTCAGACTTTTTGAACTGATAATTCAGGTAGTTATTTTTTTTTTAAATTATGAGTCAAATACTGTAGATGTGCCTAGCTTAATGGTACAAACTCTTTCTTTTTGGTATCAGTTGCAGCAGCTCAAAGATTTGCAGTGTTATATCACAGAGTTACTCCACTACAAAACGAAAACCTTTCTAACTGCGTTCAGTCTCATTATGCTATTTATTATTTATATCACTTACTTCAACGAGGCAAGACTTTCAATTGATGACAAGCTAAATAAAATAATTAAAAGAAAGTACTTTCACTTTCATAGTGTTCTTTTTCTCAATTTAGTTAACTCGTCTTACTTTATTTGCGAGCTTTGCGGGTGTGTTCAGCTGCTTTGTGTCTATCTTATCGAGTTTTTTCGCTTCAGCAACTTGAAAATCTCGATCTCGTTTATGAAAAAAAATTTTTTATCGGGTCTTGAAGACGGTAAACGGGAAACAAGATATCGAAAGTCGTTTATTTATCAGTACGTTTCTCCATTACTGCCTGTTTTTTTTGAAGATATCAGAACAAACATTGTTGATCGAAGAGTCGGCAAAAACATTCACTTGACGTTGTCTGGGTTTTACGCCTCAGGCATTGGCGATAGTTTTAGTGCTTTGATTCCAAACGTGTACTATAGATTTTTTCCAAAGAATCGCGTAAACGACAAAACCGTTTTCGGGCTGGTATCTTTTATTTTTTCTATAGTAGCAAGCTCCGAAATAATAAACAGTTTGGTAAAGGGATATTATTGCCGTTTGGAAATTTTATTGGCGAGTGCTGTAACCGGTGTTTTTGAGTACTATTGCACCGACAAAGTCGACAATTTATATCTTGGACTAGTGTTTTACGCTGTTTTGTATACTAGCCTGGCGTCAAAACTAGTTTTTGACTAGCTGCCAAAGCTGGAGAATTTTTAAGCACTGTGACTCAATGGTATCAAACCTGTGCTTCGAAATTTCATAGCAACAACGACTGAGAAACCTGAGTTTTTTCTGTTCAGACTGATATTCTGGCGAAAAAGCCATTAAGAGCGATTTGATGAGCTCGTTCTCACTGGCATACGTTTTTGCAAACTGCGGAATTAGTATTAACTGCTTTATTTCGTGAATGGAATCGGAGTTAGAAAATGTAGTTAACAATTCCTTGGCTTCTGACTTGGAGACAGACGCCATTACGTCTGACAGCGCAGCGCTTTTGTGACTTGAAATGATGAATAAGCCTGCAGCCATGTAGTTGACCACGTGGTGCGAAAACAAATCCAGGTTGTAGGTGTGGATACCAATTTTAGCGTTGGTTAAAATTTGTTTCAGTTTTTCGCATGAAATGTTTATGTGAATATTTATTATGAGATTTGCTTTGGCGTTAGATTTGTTTCGCAATAATAAATTGTTCTCCAGTGATACGGTCTTCGAAATGTAAGAATGATTGAAGATGTAGACAGACGCTAAAGGACAGTGTTTGATGATGTAATCGTAAATTTCTTGCATAGTGGTAAGATTGGAGGCATTGAATTCGAAGTTTAAACACAAATTGAACTCAATTGGATTAGAGAAATCGAGTTTCTGAGACGTAAAATACACTGAATCCACAAGGGAGTTATACTCTTTACAATATTTAAGCTCGATGATGCTGATTATTGCATTTTGCCGCATGTTCCACGGCACGTATGAGTCAACCGAATTTATACTGGTAGCAGGGAAAAGTGTAATAATTTTGGCTTCGGGATTTCGCTGCTGCATAGAAAGCGTGGCAACTTTGCTTGTGGATATTATAGGCAGACTGACAAATAAATAATGGAGTTTGTTTAGTAGTCGGATGATGATAAGTTCGAGCCATTCGAGTCTTGCCACTTTGTTTGACGAAATACGCAGCGAAGTGATTTCTGTCGCAGACACATGCATGAGTACGTATGAATTACGTAACCCGAGAGAAGTTATCCAGGAAAACACTAACGTAGAGTAATTAAGCACCGACGTGTCGACTATTATATCTTTCGCCTGCCCGGTAGAACGAAACGCCGCTTCCAAACCTAAAATACATTCGGACAAATGCAGACTGATAACAGGTAGATAGTAGAAATTCAATGTTAAAAGAAAACTGCAATAAAGTCTGACAAGTTCGACTTCGGTATACTCGTTTAACACTACGACTTTGCTTGTTTTTGTTTCGCTGTGTTTAATTTGAAAATCTGCTTTGTACAATTTGTTTGCGTTTGTAATCGTCTCCTCTAAACTTGGAAAATTATGTTTAGTGAAGATGACAAATCTGGTTCGACATTTTTTACGCAATGAATAGCGTGACAACAGTGAGATCAAATGCCAAAAATGACCTTCGTTTACCCCAACACCATTCAAATAGGGGTGAAAAATAAAAATTTTTTTGCTAAAAATTTTATCTGGCAAAAACTTACACATTAGCAACATTAAACGAATGCAAAAACAAAACTATCAAATTAACAAACACGCCAACTGAAAAGATCAAAACGCTGTAAAGACATAAGTTCGAATTCATTGTGATATCAACTAGAACCTTAAAGTTCGAAGTTGCCTTGCAATTTGCAACTGCGGTAGGTTTATTTAATACACGACAGTGTGTTTAGATTTTAATTAACTATTAATAATATAAAAAAATCTTTCATGAGAAATTTTATAAAAATAATAAATGTGTCATTACAGGTGGCTTCAGCGTTTAAATTATACCTCCATACTGTAGCGGTTTAGTTTTTTCTTGTAAACAATAGTTGCTAGAATAAAAAGAGCAAAGAGAGCAATAACTATAAAGAAAACTATAACTCCTTTCGTTATTAAGCTGAGTGAACCGTTTAATTTATCTGTTATTTCAAAACCCATGCGTTAATTTTTTGTTAATTATTAAAAAAAAATGAAACAGCAGTCACTCAATTATCATATTTTTAATCTCATTTAAGTCAATAGTTTTAACTAATTTTTTTGTTGGCGATATTCCTGCTAGTCTTTGGGCCAGTTGTCGTTTATTTTCTTGACATTTTAATATACTTTCTTCAACTGTATTGGCCATGATAATTCGATGTACATAGACGGGCCTAACCTGCCCAATTCTGTGTATTCTGTCAATAGCTTGATCTTCGATAAAAGGATTCCACCAAGGGTCAAGGAGAATCACATGGTTCGCTGCAGTCACTGTAATACCTACAGCCGCGGCTCCATATGTACATAACATAACGCTAGACTTAGGCGTTGTTTGAAATTCACTGATGACTTTGGTACGCTGCGTGTTTGAGACTTTTCCTGTTATTTGGTAGTAGGGAATTTGGTGTTCAGTTAGCAATGAGCAAACTATGTTTAGGACACGCACAAAGCTGCTGAACACAATAATTTTCAACGGTTCGTCGTCGTCCGGGTTTACATGGCCTTGATTAATTTTTTGCATAATTAAGCTGATAACGTACTGGAATTTAGTCACTGGAACTGTTTTTTGGGTAGGATGGATATTGATTTTACCTTGTAAGTCTTGCAGCTCCCCAATTTTAAACATCGTGTCCATCGAAAGAGGCTCTCTGCAACACGGACAGACGTCTGAATTAGAAAGCCACGTATTGAGACAGTCGGTGTGAAAGTAATGGCTACAGTGCGTGATAATTTCTGGATCATTTGATAAACAAATTGGACAGATTTTCGTATTATCTGGTTTTATCGGCTCAGTATAATCTTCTTTCAAGTAGTTGTTATGTTCAGCGGCAGCACCTGGAGTATCTAAAAATTTCAGTTTCAGAAGTTGCTTCGCATATTCAAACTTTTGATCTGACATTCCTGCAGGTTTTGAGTTATGAATCGATTCATTTACAATTATTGCGTTCAGTAAATTTTGGGCGTCCGTGTTGAGTACTTCCTGACCCGCAGTTAATAATCTTAAATACATCATCAGTGAATTTATTTGGATCCAAGAGACGCTTGAATTCTGATCGTTTATGATGCTTTTAGCTGTTTTCTTAAACAAATTGTAAATTCGCATTTCTTCTTCGGACATCGTAACTTTGTGAAGCACAACGTGCTTAAGTGGTAACGCGGCTAAAGTATTTGGTGTTTTAAACATAACTTGAGAATTTCTTAGCTCGTAATTGTGAGGAGATCGACAAACAGATAAGTTCATTGGGGTAACATTTCCTTCAGATTCGTTGTATTTGTCATTGCTCTGAGCCATACTAGGCGTTGTTCCAAACAATTTGGTGTAAAAAATATTTTTTTCTCTTCGCAACATTAAAGAACGCAAGCAGTATAAGTACATAACCTGCTCAAGCTCTTCAGAAATGTACTTGTTTTTGTTAGCAGTAACATAATTCTCTGCGCCAACCAAGCTTAAAATATTGATGAATTCCTTTATGTTATTTTGTAACGGTGTTCCGGACACAAACCAACAAATAAAAGCTTTTAAGCTTTTAATAGACTTTGTTTTTAGCGTTATTGCGTTTTTAATTTCGTGAGCTTCATCTAGTATCAGCCTATGCCAGTTAATTTTGTGTAAATAACTTGTGTATGTAGAGGTATTGGCAGCTACGGTGCCATACGATGTTATTACAATAAGTGCGTTGCTCAAATCTCCTCTACTGTACTTTTTCCTATTTGGCCCATGAAACTCAATCACGAAACTTGGATGTATGTTGGTAGTTTCAGAAATAATGCGTTTCCATTCCCCGATCATAGTTACGGGACACACTATCAAAGTTCCACCTAATCGTTCACCTTTCTCGTTAAACTCGGAAGTAACATATTTAGCATTTACCTGTTCTGTAGGAAAGCCAAATGTGTCAAATTCCCAACTCTGTGAACTGTTCTCCAATATTTCATCAAGTTTTTTCATTCTTTTAATAGTATGATCATCTAGCAAAATAGCTGCTAACAACTGAACAGATTTTCCAAGCCCCATTTCATCTGCCAAAATACCTCCCCTAATGAAGTTAATGTCGGAATTTGAAACTTCTTTGAACGTGCGAAGACAAGTGTAATGCCCTGGTTTGCCACTTAAAGAAAAAGTGTAAGGAATCTCGTAAAGTAATTCATCAATATCTCTTCGTTCATGCGCACATATCCAACGAACACCATCTTGCTGGTGTGGTAATAACGTAATTTTCATGTATGGGCACGCTATAGGACTTCTGGCTATTGGAATGACATGATTATCATTCATTTTCGGCGTTGTTATCGGATAACCTTCATTTGACTGTAATTCAGAGTAATAATCTGGATAACCGTAGAAACCACCCAAACCATATAAACGGATTTTTTCATCTTTGATTATAGTGGATAAAATACGACTCTTGACTATTTTCTTAAAAATGTTTCTTATTGGTTCGCTCGTACGTGAGCCTTTTACTGCTTGTAATGCATTACATTCTTCTTGAAAGTTGTTGTAAAATTTGTTTTGATTAAATAACATTGTATTGGCATCGAAATGCTCAAATGATTCTGATATTATGTGAAACTCAAACCCAGATCTTTTGATCATTTGATTAACACTACTGTTCAAGTCTGATTCTGCTTTCTCTTCTTCCGTAAATTTAGTGACATCTAGAATCAGATTTTCAATAAACGCAGAAGTAGAAACAGAATTTGATGTCCTACTCGGTGTGGTACAAGTTTGCAAAACTTTGTTATTTTGTTGTAAATCGTAAAAAGAAGCGTCTGGTTTCTTAAGTTTTTTATTGACTGATTTAGTGTCGAGGCTGTCTGTGGATTGTTTTGTATACTCGGACAGCGCACTGGATATCAAGAAATCTGCCTTCATTGCAGACTCGTTATTTTTTACAATTTTGTTATCTTGAACAGTATAAATAGTTTTTTGCCAAGTATTGTACGAATACGTAGTGAATGATTTGATACTAATAAAATTTATATTTGAACCTTCGGGAAATAGAGACCAGCCAATTTTTAATTGATTGTTAACGTCGATTTGGAACGCTGCAAACGTATTATCTGTTTTTTTAACATAGTCTGTTGTTTCAGTCGTTGAAAAACACTTAATGATGCCTGACGTGTTAGTAATTGGAAAGCTCGTGATAGAGTCACAGGTGAATAGATGTGTGCAGCAATTTTCGCTCGTCAACGCTTCTTGAATGTATTTACCAGACCTGTTACTTTCTATTATCGCACCATTGGTTGCAAAAAGTGATAAGTGTACGTGTGCATCAAATATCTCTTTGAATACGCGAACAGGATCATCGCAAAAACACGAAATTTTTACGTGAACCGAGTTGTTATCAGTTATATTATTATAAATAAATGCTACAGGTTGTTTTTCGCCACAAATATTTATTTTTAAACAAGCATTCAAACAAATAAAGATTTCGCAGAAAACACTCACCATAGGTGGTAACCAAATACATGGAATGAAATTATTATTTTCTTCATCTTTGTAACCGATGGCAGCCCAGACTTCAGGATCAGTTTGATCGGGATTTGTCACCCCAAGCATTGTACCTAAGACTATTTCACTATTTTCTATTTTTTTTTCCAAAATTTTTACAAATACTTCTGAATCTTCGATTTCAGCGAACGTGTGAACTTCACAAACGTGATAAGCATTATCTTTATTGTTTTTCATTTCATCAGTAGGCATTGAACTAACAAGCCAATCCGAACCTGTTTTTTTTCTCTTCAACAAAAAATTTGAATTTTCAAAATATCGTTTTATGGGATCATTGTCAAGTGTGTTTGATGCATCAAAAACATTTGAATCAGCTTCTAGAGCTGTAACAGTTTGAGAAGCAAAGTTATCTTCTTCGTATGAATTTTGTACTACTGTATCAGCATGGTAGTTGTGCTCCATTTTGGCTAAACCATGGTTGAAAACTTAAAATGATCGTTTTATATTTCAAACTAATATATAAGTAGTTATGCCTTTGTTTTAGATTATATATAATGGGAAAGTGATTAGGATATTAATTTTCACTTAATTATTTTTAGAATTATCGCAATAAAAAAATTTTTAGGTTAAAAAAAATAATCAAAAAAATAGTTGAAAAATAATGATTTAAAAGCAGAATGAGCAATTACATTAATTGCACCGTCGAGGGACCAAGAAATGTGTCTTATTCGCCTTCTATGGTACCTTTAGACGAGCTAATCGATCAAATGAAGATAAAATTGATAGAAGAAACCGAAGACACGCTCGAGTTTGACTTAATTGGCGTTGATGTTTCTGTGGCAAACGCGCTAAGGCGTATTATGCTTTCAAATGTGCCTACTATGGCGATTGAAACTTGCGAAATGTATCAAAATACCGGAGTCATTCAAGATGAAATATTATGCCACCGTCTTTGCTTAATTCCTTTTTCTGTCGATCCAGACTTGTTTAACTTTAGAAATTCTGACTGTGGTTTAAACAGCAATAATTCACTACAATTTAGTTTAAATGTGGTTTGTCCACAAGAAATTAAATGTATGCCCATTTACAGCCGACACTTACAATGGATTCCCAGAAACAATGAGGAAAAACATAAGTTCAAAAATATTAATGTACGTCCTGTTTCAGAGGACATATTGATTACCAAAATCGGCCCTGGACAAGAAATCAATATGTTCATGTATCTAGAAAAAGGTATTGGAGCCACTCACGCTAAATGGTCTCCTGTTTGCGTGGCATACTATAAATTAAAATCTATATTACGTTTGAAAATAAACCCTGAAACAAACATGTTTTATTCCCTGTCAGAAGACGAGTTGAAATTGCTACCAGAACCCGTTGAGTTTGACGAAAAATCGGGCGAAGCTAACCATTTTCACAACGAGTTGACTCCGCGATTAGCTGTCGAGCATTTTTCTCACAAAGTTGAGCATTTGAAAGTAAAAGATCATTTTAAGTTCATTGTGGAAAGCACGATGGCTATACCACCTAGAAGAGTCTTGAGTTTAGCTTTAAAAATATTTTTAAATAAGTTTACTAATATTAAAAAAGAGTTACAAAAGTTTAAAGGTTAACGAGATTAACATAATACATGATTTATTTTCATAATACAGAAATATTTAGTTACTAGTCTGCTCGTTTAAACTTTCAGCTTACAAATAGAAATGAGTGGTGCGATTAATTTTTTACCTAAAGTTAGAGCCACTAAACAGCTTTGTCGCAATTATGCTCTATGAAATATTCATCGAACGCCCGCGATATGTTTGGCTCGCTTAACCCAATAAGTTCACTGTTGTACTCGTCCATAATTGCAATCATCGAAGGCATGATTCTGTTAATTATACTATTGTTATAATTCATCTTGTTCAGATTTTCTAAAGTAAGAATCTTCTTGACAACTTCGCCTAGAGATTTAGGCATGTCTTCTTTTTTGATATCTAGAATGTATTGTAACATTGATTGATGTGAATTTGATATGTCTTTAATTGTAGAGTCGACAAACTCGTTGATTTCTGAATCTTTTTCTCGAGATATTCCAATAGTTTTGACGAGCTTGGAAATCAAGTTTTTAATGCATGTCGGACAGGCTTCAAAGCCCATCTTTCTGTCGTCTACTAATCTTGTAAGGTGATTATTTATGAATTCATACATGTCTAATTCGTCTTCATTTGTATATTCGATGCGGGGTTCTACGCATTCTGATACTATGATAAGAGCCGGAGAAGCGGTCGACTGATAGTAATATTTCTCAATCATTTTATCATAATTGAGCTTCAATTTTTCTCCATCTAGCAACACAAAGTTGTTGTTAATAAGTTCCGTTACTTGATCGATAACACTTGACCATTCATTTTTTCGCGAAAGTGCTTTGGTCAGTACGCTACTAAAATCATCTATTAGTTTTACTAAATCGGTGCATTCCGGGTCGATGAACGTTTTGTTAATTGGCATGCGGTCTGTGTATTTGTTTAGCTTTTCGAAAATGTCTTTGTCTTGCATAAAGTCCATTATGTCCATTCCCGCAGTTGTAATACTGTCTGTATTGAACAGTAAAGACATTATGGACAACACAGACAACAAACTCTTCTCACTGTTGCAACTGTCGAGTCTGTTTGGGTAAAGAATTGCCAAAATCTTGCTTTCTACAGTTGTAAAGATGCAGAGGCTCGTGTACAACAAATAACTAAAGACTCTCATTGGGATAAATATATTAGTTGTTAATTTGAATTTCGGTGTGTGAATAAAATAGTTCAAAATCTATAAAAATATCCATCGACAGAATGTTAGAATAATTTATGAATGATGGTTGTTATTAGACTTTCTAGGGGCACCATTTATTAATGTATAATCTTACGTTACAATCGCATGTAATTTCTAGCAAGGAGTAGGATGCAAAAAAATTGTAAACCTAGATTAAGTATAACTTTTAACGGATAAACTTGTTATGGTATGTTTAAATAACCAAATATTTGTTAGCAATTTAATACGGCTAATGCTGCTGCAGAGAACTCTGAGATCGTCGAAAATTTCGAATCCCCGGATTATGATCGGACAAGGAAGAAACAGAATAAACTCGTATTAGGACTCGTTTCTCAACTAAACATCGATAATACAAAGCTTAACTCGAACTTTCCGGAAGATCTTTCAGATTCTACCAGCGACACTAGTGTTCAGTTGTTTAATAAATTCAAGTCGAAAAGTCAAAAACAAATTATCTATCGAAGCGGCCAAAAAAAAAAAAAATCAAACCAGCGGCCGGATAGTTACCCGACTATCCCAATTAACGTTATCACTAAAATAGATAAAACGCCAGCAAACGAAACATTAGGTTTCAAACTATACAAAACATATGCTGACATGATGAATACTTGTTGTCAATGCTGTTTGGACGAGCCTGAAAATGTGTATATTTGATTCATTGAGAACGCTTGTTTTGGCATAATTCATGAGATAGTGAGCAATTTTTTCAATTTTCGAAAAACGTCACTATCTCAAATTTTCTTCGAGTGCGTTCAAACAAATTAATAAGTATTTTATATCCTTTAGCAAGCTAAACGTGTAATCATTTTTATCAGCCATGCATAATGCATTTGCTTCAATGAAATTAAAAAGTGTCTGCAGGTGAGAATCTATAAGAAAATACTCTTTTTTTAAAAGTACTTGTTCGTCAGGGGAAAGATTTACAAATTTATCGTGAATCTTTTCCCACTGGTAAAGCAATGCAGTTATATAATCAAATTTTTCACTAGAAGATAGAAAAAAAAACTTATCAACCCTTCCTACCAATTGTTTGTATTGCACTTGAATATCTCTGATTAGTTGACCAGCACGTTGTCTGTTATCCATCAGATGCCGGCCGAAAACACACCTGAAGATTCTTCTTAGTCAACGCAAAATTTAAATTAAATTAATTTAAACAGATATATTAATAGCTATGTGTATTAGAAAAACATGACAAAATATAATTTAGAAATACAAAACAGACAACAAGTTATACAGTTCAGAAAAGTTGTCCGTCAAAGGTTTGTTCAAACCAATTTCGAGCCTCGCTGGCATTGACTCGGTTTAATGGGCCGACCTTGGTTTTCTTTGCTCGGCGTTTGCAAACACGGTATCCTGGACGAGTGAGGTGAACAGAAAAATCAATACCGAAAATACCAATGTTCGGATCGTATTTGTAACCTAAATCGATGTGCTCTTGAATACCAAAACCGAAGATACCAGATTCAGAAAAACACGATTTATTTAGTTGGTATTCCTTTACCTTGAGACCTTTTTCTAAAAGTTCCAAGGCTTTTGAACCCCTTACAGTTACACAAGTGGCAATTTTATCGTTTCTTCTGATACCAAAAGCCCTGATTGTCTTGTGCGCTTTATTTTCAACAGGAGTCTGTCCACTTAATTCTTGAAGCACACGAGAGGCTCTAGTCAAACGGTCTCCAGTTTCACCAATGCAAATATTTAATATTAATTTCTCAATGCGTATTTTACGCATGGGATTGTTTTCCTTGGTCTTCTGAATTTCTGCCATTTCTGAATGTAATGTAATTTCTATAATGTTTATAAAGAAATTATTAACGTGTTTTGTCTAAATCAAATTTCTAACTAAAATGAATTACAAGAAATTCGTAATGTTTCTATAGTAACGATGGATTTCACTTCTGATTTATCGGACATTGAGGAGTACTCAAACAAAAAAACTACTGCTTTGGAGAAGGAAATAAAATTTTCTAATAATTTTTCAGAAAAAAATAATAACGATAATAATACAACTAAATCAAATCAGAGAAAAATTAAAGACGACGATGCTGAAAAAAAACAGTTTAATAAGAAAATAGCTGAAAAAGCCAGCAGAAAAGTTTTAACAAAGAAACAAAAAGCAAAGCTTTCTCAGAAAAATGCTAATCAGAATAACAATGCCGAGTTACAACAAGCTAACGAAGCTGTGTCACAAGCTAACTTCTTAAGATCTCCTATTTGTTGTATCCTTGGTCATGTTGATACTGGTAAAACCAAGCTGTTAGACAAAATGCGCGGCACAAATATTCAGCAAGGAGAATGTGGAGGTATTACCCAACAAATTGGAGCGACTTATTTTCCTGCAGAAACACTGAAAGATCAATGCAGTAAGGTCGATTCTAAGTTCGAAGTCAAGATTCCAGGGCTTATCATAATCGATACGCCGGGCCACGAATCTTTCACCAATTTACGTCGACGAGGTTCAAGCCTTTGTGATATCGCTATTCTAGTTGTTGACATCACAAAAGGTATCGAACAACAAACGATAGAAGCGCTGGAATTGCTAATAAATAAGAAATGTCCTTTTATTGTTGCTTTAAACAAAATAGATAGATGTTTTGGGTGGAAATCACAAGAATTCGAACCTTTTGTACGAGCAATCAAAAATCAAAAGAAAAATACCGTTGACGATTTCAGGTCCAAAGCTCAACATTGTATGATTGAGCTATGTAAAAAAGCCATGTTAACATTTACTTTATTCACAGAAAATACTAACTCTAAAAAACAAATTAATTTAGTCCCTACTAGCGCTGTTACCGGCCAAGGAATTCCAGATTTACTCTACTTAATGGTTAAATTAACTCAAGGGTATATGAGTAACAGAATAACTCTCGAAATGGAAACAGTGACTGCGACTATTCTTGACGTTAAAAACACTGTGGGGCTTGGCTCAACAATAGATGTTCTGTTGATTGGTGGAGTTTTACGTAAAGGTGATACGTTTGTTGCAGCAGGACTCAAAGGACCTATCGTGTCCAACGTAAAAGCTTTGCTAACACCACCGCCGCTCAGAGAATCACGAGTCAATGGCGAATATATTCATCATGACGAAGTTCGAGCTGCAATGGGAGTCAAAATCGCAGGGTTAAATCTTCAAGATGCAATTGCCGGAAGCTCGCTATACGTCAGTGACAACCCAGAAAAAATTGAGCAATATAAGAAAATTCTGCAATCTGATGTTGACAGCATTGTGCAATCCATTGAAAAATCTTCTCACGGAGTTTATGTTGTTGCTAGTAGTTTAGGCTCGCTCGAAGCTCTTTTAGACTTTTTGAAAAACTCGAGTATTCCTGTTAACAATGTTTCAATTGGCACAGTTCACAAGCTTGACGTAGTTAAAGCAAGCACTATGATTGAACGTGGCTACAAAGAATACGCAGTGATTCTTGCTTTCGATGTAAAAATCGATCCAGAAGCTTTACAAGAAGCAGCCAACCTTGGAGTAACGATTTTCAAAGAAGATATCATTTATCATCTTTTCGATAAATACACAATGCACATTGAAAATTACCGAGCGCAACTTAAAGAAGAAAACCGTAAACATTTCGTAACACCTGTTATTATGAAAATGCTGCCAGGTTTAGTTTTCAACTACAAGAATCCAATGATATTTGGTGTCGAAGTTCAGGAAGGTGAACTTATTCCAGGTACGCCTATTTATTGTCCATCCAAAAAACTTCCTCTAGGTACTTTAGATTCCATAGAACATGAACGTAAAACGGTATTATCAGCGACAAGAGGAATGCAAGTTGCCGTTAAGTTTTCAGAATCATCTCTTGAAATCAAAAAAGACATTCAAGATGATGAAGTCTTGGTTTCGTATTTAACCAGACAAAGCATCGAAGTTGGGAAAACTTACTTCACTGATGAAGTAAAAAAACACCTTAAGTTATTCTTGAAGTTGAAATCCATACTGAACATCACATGATTCTTTTTAGCTCATCTTAATTGCTAAATCTTTTTATATTTACACAATATTCTATTTCCGTGTAATTAATGTTAATAACTATGTTATTAGTGTGAATATGTAACATCTTCCAATTAATCAACAGATTGAGTTGGATTAACGCTAATTTCAAATCTTATAGTCGAGGTTTAGTTGTGTAACAACCTGACCAATTTATTGACTCGTGTAATATACAACTAACGCACACTTAGCCTATTCCACTTAATATTATTGACATGTTAGCAAGCAAGTAAAAATATAAGGTGACCAGCATATTTGAATATTTTTTGTGTTGCTGATACCTAAATCAGCTTGTAATAACGATTTGAACTGTTAAACACTTTATATCTAACAAAATATGTCATATTCTTGTAGAAATGATGCTGTAGAGTTCAATAACTTTGGTTACGATGAAACAGCTAATTCTAATTTAAATCAAGGCAACCATGTATATCTTGATAAACTTAATATAAAAAGTCAAGAGTCAGATAAAAATTTAGAAAAAAATTTAAACGACTTGAGCGACCGGGATGACGAAAATTTTATTTGTAACACGCGTTTGGTGACACCTCTTGTGCATAGAGAGCATGTTACTAGTTCAGTAAAGAATTACGTAGTAGATCCTAACTATTATAATGTGCTCAATAACAATAGTGCTGATAACAACCATTATCAAGCCAGTTCAACGAAACTGGAAATTAAACATATTTCTGACAAGGAAACAGCTTCATTCACTAGTCAATATGCTTTTCAAGACAAAAGTAGTAACGTTCAGGACTACACTGAATCTGAATTAGAAAACCACAGAGCAAAAATAGATTCCATACCTGACTCGAAAACTATCTATTATCGAGACGAATCTGACAAAATTTGGTACAAAGAACCAGTTAGTGAAACTTTTCAAACTTTCGTTGCTTCTTCATTCAATATAGCGGAGACTAATAATGGCTATTACAACTATAACGCTTTCAAATCCAAGCGTGTCCTTCCCAAAGTTGTGAAAGGAAAAATAACACATCTAAATAACTCTGCTTCTCTCAATATTTATCCGTCTGAACATCGAACATGTTTTAGTCAAAATACACAATATTGTTACAACAATAACTCAGAGTCTTACAACGGCTTAGAAATTTTGCACGAAACTCCTTTAGTAAATGTTTATGAAAACGACAATAAGAATAATTATCAACGCTGCGATCCAGAAAACTTTCTGCCATTACAAAGAACTAGTCATGAACGACAATATGATTATTATCGAGATACACGTGAAAAACCCAAAATAGAATTTAAAGGGATTCCATCATCCCCGCGGGAAACAACATGGAAAGCTAGTGAAATTTACAGTTTTTCTAAAAAAGCCCTGCATCATATTCCTTTAACCCCTGTTCCTGTTTCATACAGAATTAAGGACGACTTGGCTGAAAATCATTCAGCTCCTTCTAGACTTATTTCCAAACTAAATGACGAGTCAGAAAAAAATAACGATGAAACGGAAATGACCAAAAATCAAGAAGATGGTATGTTTGATAAACTCGTGTCTTTTTTAACCTATAAGTTAAATAGTAATGAAGAATATGCAGAAGTTGATCACTACAACCTAGACAATGTCTTGGTGGATAATAACAAAATGAATAAAAACAAACTTCTTATAAACGACAATCTTTTAAATATGAGCGTTTGCTTTGCGCAAGACAGCAATTCATACATCGAAAATGGCATGGAAAATTCTAAACAAGATGATCTCTTTTACTATGCTTTAAGAACAAAATCCGAATTGGATCAAAAAGAGCAAGTTAACGTCAGCGAAATCCAGAAAGATAATTCTTTTACAAACAACCTATTGCATGAAGTCTCGATGCTAGACATTTACAACGAGAAATCGAAAATGTTTATCCACTCTTCAAACTCTCTAACAAACGAAAACCTTTCTACACAGAACCTTTCGTTATCAAATTCAGACAACATCAAAAACTATAAGCTACGAAACAGTTGGTCGGAAATGGATTCGTCAGTGGATAATTATGTTTTTTTTCAAAACTATTTAACCAGTAATATTAAATCAAAAAACTCACTATCTATTGAACGTTCGCCGTTCCACCAATCCAGTAATTTTTACGCGCTAGATACTCTTGATTCAAAATTTTATAACTACGATGTAACTAATAGTAACTCTTATGAAAATGATTGTATTTCTCAAAAAACGATTCGAAAGCACAATTCTAAACTGCCAAGGATTTCGTCACAATCATTTCAAAAACAGCAGAAAAAGAAAATTTATTCGTCTTCAGGTACTCGCAAAAACAAGTTGAATAAGTTTACTGCTTCTGATGAAAATGGAAAACGCAAGATACGCCGAGATATAATGTCTATCGCCGAAAGTCTTCCTCCATTGCCCGGCTTATATTTTGACAAAAAACAAAAAGGTTTTAGAGTAAGGTTTCAAAACATCTATGTCGGATGGGTAGCGCTGTCCCGCTTTAATTCTGTCGAAGAAGCTTATTGTAGTGCTAGAATAATATGGGAAAATGCTAAGGCTAGCGCAGAAAAGTTTCAAACACCTCACGCCGCTGTAATTGCTAGTTTACCGCTGCAAAACTCCAGCGGAAAAAATCGTGGCGGGAGGCCGAGAACGGTCACACAACTGCCGTTCCTCAACAAAAACTATTTCGACAGAACAGCGAAAAATTCTGACACAACAGACCGGTTGAAAAACTTTAGTTGTTGAAGCGAGATTCAGTTTTAGTTATTCGATTTAATTTTTATGTCTTCTTTCGTTTTAATATAATTCCTTTATTTCTACAAACTAGTTAATTCGGGGCTGGATCATTAGTATCGCAGTGTTGGAAAGCTTAACGTAGCCCATTGAGTCATTAAAAACTACTCGCTTCTACCTCCCGATTGCTATTTTAATCCTCATGTTATTGCCTGTCTTTTTTAATCAATAATCTAAAATAAATCATTTAGATTAATTTGGTAATTTTACCATTCAATATTATCAACACTCAAATTATTATTTACTAAATAGATATTAACGCAAAGTATCATCACGATGCAGCCCATCTCAGAACACCAACAGTTAAACACGAATAACCAAAACGAACAACCTGTATGTTTGTAAAATTGATCAGTTATTGTTTATTTTTAGCCATACGACCTGTTTCTCGTCTCTTCCTACTTTATTTGCATGATTTGCAACGGTTTTTTTAGGTCAGCGACAACGATCAAAGATTGCTCTCACACTTTTTGTCGCGTCTGTCTAGTACGCTACATAATTAACAAAGGTTCTCACTGCCCTAAGTGTTATTTATCGATTTCATCCAACTACAAAGAAGCGTTGGGCAACGACGAAACTGTACAAAATTTGCTCGACACTATTTTTCCATATTTTATCGGCCAGGAAAAACAATTTCTTCATAAATATTACGCGTCACAAGACCTTAAACTTGCTGATGAAAAATATACCAAAAATTTAGAGACCCAAGACGAACTACTAGATGTTAGTCAATCTGTTTCTAACAAGAAAATATCTCAACTACTCGTGAAAACGTCACAGAGTATCAACTTCTATCACCTAAAAATAACGATAACGCACAACCTAGGTACAGCGAGTTTGAACGCCGCAAATAACCCCTATTATATGTTAATTCACAAAAATACGCAGGTTGGCATAATTATAAAGTATCTAAACAAAACTATAGATGCCAACAGTGAAGAGCTGACTTTATATTTATTGAACAACAAACTACTAGCAAATGAAACGATAGATCACGCAATAAGAAGAATAAGTACAATAGATTTGTTACTTTTGCCCGAGATACCTGTAGGGCTTGTCATTACACCAATCATCATTGAACAATAACTAAGCGCTAAAAATTAATTTTTTTAAAAAAAAACCTAGCGTTAATTCTTGGTAATTTTTATTAATTTCAATGAAGTACTAGCAATGGATAAAGGCAAGCCTGCTAACATTTTCTTTGAAAATTTTCCTGTAGAGTTTACGGAGATTGGAACTTTAAACGACATCCAGTACGCGGAAGACGACTCTATTATATGTGTCGAAGTTAACAAAAACATTACTGAATTAAACAACAATCAAATATTTAATGGGTTAGTTCAGCACATGGTTGACTTAGAAAAAATTCCAGACTCGATTCAAATCAACGACAAAGAGTACGACATTCACTATGTCCCTCCTCGTGGTGACGAGTTTTTGTGTATTGGCAATCAAGTTGTCAACGTTGCTTCCAATTTCGCAGGCAGATTTCTTATGTCCGAAACTTGCAAAGAATAGATGCTAATATTTAATAGTCTTTTTTACCTGATATAAGTTTTCCTGTTCAAATGTCAAAATAAAAATTTAATAAATATTGGTTTATTTTTGGACAACATCTCTAACAATAACATCAGTGAACTTGACTCAGTGGTTGAGATAGCTAACTAAGTTAAACCTTTTCAAACAGTTAGATTAGTTTTGAACTGATCGTACCTTCATAATTCCAACTAAGAGCAAATTGTAAGTCAACAGTTTTTCAAAGACATTAAAAATCTGCAGCAGTTTTTCATGAAAAACCTGATGATATGAACTTTCAATACTACGAGCCGGTTCAACTTCATTTTTCGACAAATTCGTTGTTAAGCCTGAATAGAAATTCTTGGGATGAAGATCTTAAGCTTTATAATGCTGAAGTGCGAGAGTCATACAGCACCGTAAATAGTTATTGTAATAACGCGTTGATCATTGTGTTACGATCGATTTATTACTCCGACAAGCTTGACGACTCGATTTTTTCTTGCTTAAATTTAGACACTATGGAACATTCTCTAATCATTGTTCCAGAACATTCGAACTATGCAAAAAATATTCGCTATGGCGACGTCGTCATGCTTCAAAGTGGCGAAGGACTCTACCTTCAATACTATTTGAAAAACTCTGAATATAAGGTTGCTTTCGCGAAAATTCCGCTGGACAAATCTTTTAAATTTGCTAAGTTTATTTTGACGAGTCCGTTCAATGATGTAGGTCTCATTAGTCCCGGAGGCTTATTTATATTGCAACTATTCGACACCGACTTTTGCATCGGATTAAATGAAGCACAAGGGTCTGTAAGCAGCTTAGATACAATCCAAGTAAGACGCATATCTTCGGTTTGTAGCTCTAGTGATATTTTACATTTTTCAAGAGGATTCAACTTTTATCAAGGTTTCATCAGTTCTTCTCTAAACATTTCTAATTTTACCAACGCTAATCAAGAAACTCCACAAGACAAAGCATATGCTAAAGTCTTTGATTCCAATTTAAAATTGTTGTACGGAGATAAAATGAATTTCAATAAAATACCGGTCCAGGAACGCAATAAGTTTTACGAAGCACGAGAAAAAATTTTCATCACAGATATAATAGCTTGTCTAGCTGGCACAAGTAGTAGCTATATCCATTTTGTTTCTGAACCAATTACGTTTGGAATTCACCATTGCATTTTGAAAATCTTAGACTACAGCTACGATCTAAAAGGCATTAGCAATATTACGAATGGTAAAAACCATGAGGAAAAAATTTTTTCAGACTCTTTTTACTGTGTTCTGCAGATTCTCTTACAATTTTACAAAATCAAATTGACACTACAAGAATACATTCAGTACAATATGTTTGTTTTTATTACTGTATCTTCAGAACTTGATGAATTACTCACAGCAACAATTGAAAAAATCATAAACGTCATAACTAAAGTGATGATAAGCGCTGAACTTGTAACTATTACTTGCATATTAACCAATTTAGAAGAGTTGGTTTCCGTTTTAAACTTTTGTAAAGAAATCATAAATATATGCAACGAAGAATTTTCGAACAGTTTATCTAACACAGACCAACTACTGTCTAAATATTTAAAGCAGCGTTCAAATGGGTTAAACATGAATTTAATCGATGAGGTGCTTTCGTCAAACGAAATTACAATAAACAACAGAGAGGCTGACACTTCTATCAACAATAGCGATACAAGACTTATGAATGAAATAAATGATAGACCGGTCAATTTTATACTTCAGGCGATCAATGTTATATCTTTATATATTCCTTTGAACAAATTTAAAAACTGTCACTCCAAACTCGTTAAAATTTTGTCTGAAAGAGTTGAAACTTATTTTTATACAATATTAACAAACGAGTCAACAAATGATTTCAACCATGAGTTTTTTTATATAGAAAATAATTTTCTTCAGACATATAACGGTCAAGGTTTAGCTAGATGGAGAGAAAAATTTATTTACACGAACCCTAAGCTGCCAATTGATTTTGAGCAAATAATCTACCCGCTCAACTCAACAATTAACATATTGTACAATCTAAAAAAGTATTTGTCATGCGACATTCTAAACAAATCAGTCGAGAAAATCATTAACATTACTAAAATATACGGAGAAATTCATTCTATTTGCGATAATTCTTTTAGCTTTAGTTCTGGCAGTGAGAACAAAAATACTCATAATATATCAAACTTCAATTACTTCAATAAGATCAAGGAAAGTATTTATAATCTCAACTTCTCGATTGATACGTTAATTTACGACCGGTTCATCAATCCATTTTTGAACTACATATTTGAATATCAAGAACTTTCATTTTTTCGTGAAGCTGGTCCGCTCGGCAGTGCGCTAGCGATTTATCAAGAATACTTTAGCTATCAACTGGTTAATCCCAATGATTTCTGCAATGTAACTTCAATAAATCAGTTGTTGAGCGACAATATAAACAGATATAAAAGCAAGAACAACTATTTTGAGTTCAAATACGAGTTTGCTTTCACGCTAATGAATTTGCGCAGTTATGAAGAAATTGGACGATACATTTTGTCTCATAATTTATCGGATTACCCCAATATGATGTTATCTTATTTGCCTTACATATCTTACCAAGACATTGAATTTTGTTCACAATTGTTTTCAACTGCGAAGGAGATTGAATCTTACCGACCAAATATCGAGTTGCAAACTTTAGACGAACTGAAAACTTATTTTGGCTACGAGTCTAAAAAAATAACGCTCACTGAAAGTATGGATTACATCCAAGACCATCTTAGATTAATAATACGAGAAAAAAATGAATCTACGTTGGCCAATATTATTAGTGCCATATTGTTTCCAAATTCAATTAAAATTGTTTACTCATATATAAACCAAGTTTTGTTTTACTTATTCACTGCTGAATCGATACTAAACCACACTTGGTTAATATTCACAAAATGCAAAGAAGCTAGCATTGTAGAGTCAGAGCTCTACTCTGTTATAGTTTCTACAACGACTTTAATGAAAAGATTTACTCGGAAATTTATTCGTTACATTTTACATGGATTAATTGAACCCAATTTACAGCTATTTTGGGCGCAAATGAATTCAGATAAAAACGATGCAAAAGACATAATTTCTAGTTTTGTGAAACAATCATCCCGAACATCAATTTTCTCTCCAGAAAAACACGGTTCTCTTTTGGTACAACAAAAAAAACAGTATAAAATCTATTCCTACTCATCATATTTAAAGTTACAATTAGCATTGGTACAAACGTTATTGCAAAGTTTGATGTTCCATCCTGAAGACCGGGCTCCCTTTAACGCGCTGCAGATATTGTTGAAAACGATTAAAACCTTTGCGACTTATTCAACGTATATGACAAAATTGTGTATGAATACTCAAAATCACTGTAGTTTGCTAAAAGAAGAGAATTTATACTTGGGGCAAGAATTACAGTCTCGATACAACCGCTATATGCAAGAATTGATTTACCATGCACACGAAAGCAAACGCTGCCAGATTTTTTTAGACCATTTAAACATCTAGCCGAGTTAAATCACAGTTAAATCTATGCCTGTCCGAGTGGTAGTTTCAAAATATTAATAAATCATTAATTCCACTATACTAAAAATAAAGATCAATATTAAAATAATATGTACCTGATAAATATACAAGCTTAGTCAACTATGCGTTCGATTACTGAATATTTCATGGAGATTCATCCTTCTCACATTGCATATCTTGGAGTTTTTTCCTCACTTGGTTTTTCCATTATTGGCGCCGGGATGTAAGTACTAGTTGATTCACACCTTCGCGTAGAGGCATGTATCTAACAGGCAGCGTTTTGCTAGGGGCTAGTATTTTTGCTCCGGAAATAAGATCGAAGAATCTAGTTTCAATTATTTTTTGTGAAGCAGTTGCCATTTATGGCATCATTATGGCTATTTTACTTCACGCAAAATGCAAAGTTTTACCTGATGTAATACCTGAAGAATATTACCCTGCAGCAGTTACAGCTGCCGGAAGCATATTTTTTGGGGGACTAACGGTGGGCATCAGTAACTTAGTTTGCGGGTAAGTATTCCAGAGCTTTAATTTTGTTTTTGTTTCAGTACAAACCAACAGCATGAAACTTTATGCTCGTAAAATACATTTTTAGAATTGGAGTTGGCATCATCGGCAGTGGCTGTGCACTTGCTGACGCGCAAAAACCCGGAATTTTCATCAAAGTACTGATCATAGAAATATTTGTTAGTGCCATTGGCCTGTTTGGGTTGATAGTAGGCATTGTTCAGACGCCGTGGTCGCTACCTACGCTTGTCACCCCGACATAAGTTTAAATTATTTTTGATCGTTCAGTTCAGAGTTCGAAGCGAAGTAATCGCTTTATTTGGAATATTTATTAATAATAAATTCTCTTATATTAAATTATCAAATTTAAAAATATAAAGAAGCTTTTACGCTGCAACTTGTAATTCAGCGTAAACTCCCATGAACCAAAATTCCATTTCTTTAGTCAACACGGCGCACTCAGTCGAGTATGAAAATTTTAAGCCCCGTGACGTGGAGCTTTTGTCTCATCCTGTGTTGATTCACCCGATGCCGTTGCTTTCCATCGTAGATCATTATTCTAGATCTTGTGCCAACACAAACAAACGTGTGGTAGGAGCTCTTTTAGGAGAAAGTACCAACAACCAAATAACCGTGTCGAACTGTTACGCCGTGCCGTTTGAAGAAATGTCAACTGAAGAAAACATTTGGTTTCTCGACATTACGTACTTGCGAAACATGTTTGCCATGTACTTAAAAATCAACGCAAACGAAAAAATCATTGGCTGGTACTCCACCGCGTCCAAATTTAACGAAACGGACTTTTCGATCCACCAACTTTTTTTCGAGTTTACCAAAAACCCAATTTTTTTGCTCTTAAACGTAAACGACACGTCAATGCCATTGCAGACGTATTACACCTTTGAACTGACCATAAAAAAACCCAAGCTCTCTTTCGTTCCTGTTCCTTACACTTTGACGTTCGAGGAAGTGGAAGAAACCGCTGTCGAACACTTGCTTCGAGACATAAAACACAGCTACAAGAATTACACATTGAAAAAAAATGTAGAAAGCATCAGCGAAAGCCTGCAATTTCTGAAAAACTCTCTAGATAAAATTCGAGACTATTTCATGTATTTAATTAACCACCCGAGTGAGATCAACAACTCGTTTGCTATTTTGATGTGCAAGAAAATGCAGGAAACCATCAACAAAATGCCACAAAACATCAGCTCCAAGCAACTGGAAGATGAACTGTACATCGAGTCCTCTCTGCGCTTGGTGGCTCTCTTCGCAGCACACGTGAGCAAAGCTGTGGTTGCTAACCACAATTTAATCCATGAAAAATTAAATCTGCGAAACCATCCCCAGGAAACATAGGGGGCAACACAAAATTTTTTTAAATTATGTACATTTTTTGGTAAACTAAATAAATAGAAATCCTAAAATGCTATTTAATTTATCGCGTTTTAATTATTATCACATGACCCATATATAATTCATTAAAGTATACATTTTTTGTATGAACAGAAACAACGCACCCGTCAAGGATCTTGGCACTCCCAGACAGGGAAACATGCTACACAAGTCGTCCAGAACCGACAACAAAACTTTCAGAAACTGTAACAACACTCGTAGATACGCTAACAAACGCATACCACGAGATTTTTTGACAAATACTAACGTGATCAACTCAAACGTTTCAAACAATCACGAAGCTTCGTCGCCCGACAAGAGTTGTGATACTGACTCAAACGCCAACGAGACTGCTAAAGCGCAGAAATCAAATTCATTGAACAACGAAAAGCCAGTTGCGCTGAAATCTACTCGAGCGTCCGTCAGCAAGCCGAACAAAGATGCAGAAACGGCTGCTTCGCTCAAAACCACGTCACGCAAATTCACGAGTGCCCCGGCTCATGCGGTTAATGATAACGAAACAAAGGAAGACAAGTCCCCAGTGCGATCCAGCCAAGCTCACCCACACAAATTTAACTACTACGATAAAACAACGCCTAGACCAGCGTTCAACCATCACCAAAATGTCAAAAATTTTACTAATGACGGTCATGACTACCACTATCCATATTATTCCCAGTTAGAAAAAAAGTACGAAAAATACGAACCTGCCAAATCGAATTTGCTAAAACACATTGATTTTGCGCCAAAAGTCTTGCCTGAATCTTTAGACTTTTCTGAGCTGAGCCGTGACGACAGATATGTCCTCTCAGATGCCAAGAAATTTTTTCTGAAGCTGAGTTTGCTTCTAAAAACGTGCAGCGGCGTTTTAAACAATGAAAAGTGGCTTGAGCTGTCGTCAGAGTTTATTTTCTACACGATTTCAAGGGGGCTGGTACTGGAGCCTACGCAAAAGCTTACTGAAAACGAACTTCACGTTCTAGGAAAAAAAATTGTCACAACTGCAGAAGATCCGCGCTCGCGTGACTGCTACCGGTTCGATATTCTTAAAAATAAATTTTCTTTTTCCAGTTTTTTCGCTCACAAACAGGACGCAAATTATTCAAGTTGAATGCACGTTAATTTACGAGTTACAGATTGATTAAATATGAATGTAAAATTCACTAGTCGCGACGCGGTCTGCGAAAACAAAATGTCGAATCTCTTTCATGAATCATATAAAGCTTCCAGTCGGGGCTCATGTGAAGATACAACTGCGTTACGATCTCGTCGTAGTCGAGCAGCGCGTCATTAATGTCGTTGATGGCTCTTTGGTCGGCCTTTTCGTTGCGGCATTGGTTTTTTAGCGCGAGCATTTTGATAGCGCGCTTCATAACGATTCTAGGCGTGTGAATATGCCGGTAAACATACTTGTCGTCGCTGTATTGCGGGCTGTAAATTACCTCCCCGTCTGAAGTGCGGTGTTCCAACATACCATCAGCTTCCCACGCCATAGATAAATACCTGTTTCTAACAATGTCTCCTCCTTCTTGATTCTTCATATTAACGATTAATTCCTCTACACAGTTAATTACTTCATCTTATACATGACTTAAAAACACAACGTGCTATGTTTTGTACGTGTCTGCTTCAGCTTATCTTTCTATTAAAAAAATTTAAAGATTGAATTAATAAAATGAATCTATTTATAAATCGCTAGAAACAAAAAAATAAACTTGAATTTTTTCGCAAATGTTTTGAGTTTTGCGTCTAACGCATTTGGCTTAACAACAGAACTTCTGTACCGGAGTTACTACTTTGTACCTTTTGCTTTATAATGTGCCGTCCCAATAAAATTTTTAAAAGTATTTGTGCTTTTATTGAAAAAAATTAAGCAAATTATTCGGCTTCTCTCAGCTAAACAGCGTATAGAATTGTAATCAGTCTGTTTCTGTTTCGAAGATTCCGCCAAAATTTGAAATATCTTGCGCTCCAATTATACTTTTTTATTTAATGTCACTAAACACATTTCATACTCATTTTAAAAGTTTTAGTTTTCAGCTAAACATCAATGTCATATAGCAAAGGAAAAGTTTACGAATGTCCGCATTGTAACAACAAATTGTTGATACATACGCACGACGAAAGCTTTATTGGTTTTGTTAAACATGTTTGGAAATCCTTTGCAACTGTCTGTTGCATTGAAGAACCAGACAAATATACCATTTACAATCCTAACTACCAGCCCCACTCTCAGGGTTACTACAACTTCAAATATGTTTCAGAAGACGATCAAACTAACTCTTTTGCGAAAAACAGAGCTTTCTACGACTCACGACTACAGTCTTGCAAATTACAACCGGTTGAAAAGCGAGACACACACTGTTCGAAAGGCGATTTAAACGTTTTCGAATTCAACGACATCAAACGCTGTGATTCTTGCAGTGACGCCGGTCCGTGCCAGTTTTGCTGCTTGGCTGCCAGAGATTTGAACGCCGTTGTCAAAAGAAGTCGTCCTGTAAAAACACAGAAAGATCATGAAGAGTTCGAAAAACAAATACAATCGATGCTCAGAAAAAAATCGCTACACATTCACAACGTCATACTACCAAACGGCGTCAAACCAGACGATCCGCGTCTAAAAAATGCAAAACTAATATCGAGAAAGGTCTACTACACAGATAAATACGAACCTCCAAAAAATGACTTCGTCTACGCGATAGACGAAAGCTGCCAATAAAATTTCACAAAAAAATTTTAATAAATATAAATTTTAAAAAAAATATATAAAAATAGCACGTTATAAAGCTCGATAAATAATTATACATAGTCAGGAGAATAAAAAAGAATTAGTTGACAAGTGATTCTGGAAATTTTATTCTACGAATATTCGAAATAATTATTAAAAATAAGAAATATTTCTGTACAGCGAATTGATTTGGATCACTTTATTGGATTATTTACCTTCGAGGATCCTTTGTGTTAATGAGTGGTGATTATAGTGGCGTTTTTGAATTCCCTTATGATCAACTACATAACAAGAATAAAGAAAGCAATACTTCTCAAAAAGAATTCGTCAACGAGTGTCCAACAGACATAAACTCTTTCAACAACAATATATCTTCGAATGTGACGCCTTCGCAATGCAATGATTCGCTCCGACCTCCGCTGTACAATGGGAATATTCAAATGATGAACGCGGAATTGGGCGAGAAAAATGCGCCACATTTGAACCAGCCCATCATTCCTGAAAAGATTATTCCAACCAATAATGCTAATTTGAACCAGATGAATTATGGGGCACATTTGCCCCATATAAGAAACACGTACGCGGGCAGGTTTGTACCCAATGGCGCAAAGGTTTACAAGCTGCCAATGAACAGGAATATCTCGCCGGACGCTATCCGCAATCAACCTATTCCTCCTCGAGTACCTATCAACGATAGAGGCATGATGCCAAATATACCTATGTACCCTATTCCACCAGGAGTAGGCATTCCATACGACTTCCAACGGCCTTACAACAGCATTAACGTGCCGCGTCCGGCTTACCAACAAATTCCAAACAACGTAATTAGCCCTATGATACCCAAAAACTTGCCGCCGCGGTATCCAGGACAGCAGATAAACAACATAGACCAGCCAAAACCAGGATATAACTCTTTTATCAATCAGAACAACACTTACATCTCTAACAGGCGAACAACTCGCAGAAAATCAGTTAAATATCACGAATATGAAGACTCTGAAAGCGATTTTGATAACTTTAACGACTCTGACTATTGTCCGTCCGACTCCAAATCTTCTGTCTGGGAGAAAAAAGGCGACCCTGATAAAAACAACAAGGAAAGCTCTTATAGACGGTCTTCTTCAGATTTAGATCTAAGCGATTCCGACGTTGAAAATACCAAGAGCAAAGTCAAAGAAACTGTTCTAGACAGAATCGGGTTTACAAACGAATTCATAATCGACCGTGTTATCAGTCACATAGACTTTTGGTGGGATTCCGACCGACAAATCGTTTTTGAAATTGTACCTACAGGAGAAACTTCAGTTGCGGAGTGCAAAGAAGTAAACAAATTTGCTTCCAAGCTTGTTAACTCCGATGAGTGTGCTCTTACAACAAACAAAAAGTCTGTTAGCTCAATAGACGACGCTGACCAAGATCAAGTACAATCTGAATTGATCAACAAAGAAGAAACTAAGGAAGAGGTACAGGAATCACTACATACTTTTGATGAAAGGCCTGAGGAAACTAAGGAATCTGAAGAAATTAGGGAAGCCGACTCTGATTCGTATATTAATGAAACAGAAGACATGTTCTCCGAGAACCAAAATCTTTTACCTGATGAGCCTGAACAAAGCTCACAAGTTTCTTTAACGAATTCGAGCGGAGACTCTTTTATTTTGTCTAAAATTGAAATATTTGCGATAGAAAACTGTCAGAGAATTCAACCCATAAAGCTCATTGACAAATTTTCTGCTACGACAGAAGACATTATAGCTTCGAACGAAACTTCGCCAGCAACTCCTGAAAACGAAGATATAAGTCTCAACACTGATTACATAACATGGAACAACAATACCCCGCCTTACGAAGGATGCATCAAAATCAGGACCTACAACATCAAATGGAAGAAACTTTGTTTGTTAAAAAACAGTTTATTGACACTTGAACAAGTTAAAAACATATGTCAAGGAGGACAAAAGAAACTTTTTAACTACATTAAAAAGCAAGAAGAAATGCTCCACGCTCTTGAATACTTAGGAGAAGACGAAATTGAACAGATGAACATCGCAATTGAGCTTCAGAAGCAACTGGACCTTGATGCGCTTGTAGCCGAACGCATAATTACAATTGCTGTCAATCCTAAAGACCCAAATCAAGAAGTTTTGTATTTGGTCAAATGGCAAGCAACTCCTTATGAAAGTGCTACATGGGAATCTTATGATTTTCTAGTTGAACATAACTTTAAACAAATAATCGACGACTACATTAGTAGAGAATCCCGCATTACAGGAGAAGATAGTACACACATGGCTTTGAATCAACACGATCTGAGTGAAACGTCTTTCAATCCTTACAAATCAACTCCTTCCTACTTGGCTAATAAGAACTGGTTCAAAAGCATGTTTTCGGCAGACCAATCAGAATGCAAGTCTGAAGCTACTATTTACCAGCAACAGCAGTTTCAGCCAGACTCACTGTACAACCAACGTCTTGTGCCCAACGTAAACTACCCTCCGAGACCTCAATATCCGAATCCTACTTCTAACGGCAGTCAGCTTGGAACAAAAACTTTGGAAAATATTGACATTTATTCCAAGATGGATTATCTCAACAGTCATTCAATGAGCGCCAATAATTCAAAAACAGAATTTGATAGTAATTCTATTGTAGATCTAAACATAAATCAATCAAAAAATGTCGCTACTACTTCTACAACTGAATTCAATTCAGTCTCGTTCGCTACAGATGCAGAACAACAACAACTTAATAATCCTAATCCATCTACCAACGAACCAAACCCGTCTCAACAGCATATTTCTGAAAGCGAACTCAATTTAGAAAAAACTCCAACTGATGCTAAGCTTGCAGAAACTAATTCAGGTGAAACTTCTATAAAAGAAGAATGTTTAACATTGAGAGACTATCAATTGACTGGAGTCAACTGGATGATCAGTAGGATGAAGAATAATTTAAGTGTTTTGCTCGCAGATGAAATGGGTCTTGGTAAAACTGTTCAAACTATAGCGGTGATAGGACATTTACTGTATGTAGAAAAACTGGCTGGACCATTTTTGCTCATAGTACCGCAAAGCACAATGGACAACTGGTACAGCGAATTCGCCAAGTGGCTACCACTTGCAAATGTAGTTCTGTATCATGGTGATCCTCAATCACGAGAAATCATTAAACAGGAAGAGCTTAAAGTTGTCAAATCTAGACCAATGAGTAGAATTGCATATTCGAATTTTATTCATCCACGCAGTCGGCTCAGTGTGTTAACGCCAGCTCAACTGAAAGCGATAATTACTAATCGCCTTAGATACCGTGCTGACGTTGTAATTGCTACACCTTCAATATTCCAATGGCCAAACGATCTTCAAGAATTAAGAAGTATAAGTTGGTATTTAATTACTGTAGACGAAGCACATCAACTCAAAAACTCACAAAGTAAAAGGTTTAAAGAACTCTGCAGTTTTCGGGCGCGTTATAGACTACTCTTAAGTGGAACACCGTTACACAACAACTTAGACGAGTTATGGAGTTTGCTACACTTTATGAATCCCACACTTTATCCCAGTTTAAGTTTATTCAAACCTCGATTTTCTGAAATCGAGAACACAGCCAGTACTGGAGAGCTGAAACAGCAACAACTTCAAGAGTTGCAGCGGTGTTTATCGCCTATTGTATTACGAAGAGTAAAAAGAGACGTTCTAAAATCTTTACCTAAAAAAATCGAGTGGATTTTGCGTGTTGAGTTGTCTCCCATACAACAAAAATTCTGCCAAGACGTTATCTTGCACAATTATGAAAGTTTAAGTAAAAACACTGGAGGTTCGAAAATAACTTTGCAGAATATTTGCGTTGAACTGAAGAAAATTTGCAATCATCCTTTCTTGCTCTCCTATCACAAACGTGAATTGCTTGATCAGAATATGTCTTCGTATAACTTGAACGCAGACGGCCATCTTGACTCGCTAGATAAGATGTCAAGGGAACAATACAATCACGATATTGTGTGGTCATCTGGAAAAATGGGTCTGCTTCACAAATTGCTTAAGCGTCTTAAGGAAAAGAACCATCGTGTTTTAATTTTCAGTCAAATGGTACGCATGATAAACATACTTTCAAAATATTTGACATTAAACGGTTATAAGCATCAGCGTCTAGACGGTACTATGCGAAGAGACGTTCGAAAGAAAGCGATGGATCGTTTCAACGCTCCAGATTCCGACGATTTCTGTTTTCTTTTGTCTACTAAAGCAGGGGGGTTAGGTATCAACCTTACAAGCGCTGATACCGTTATTATTTATGACAGTGACTGGAATCCTCAAAATGATCTGCAAGCAGAAGCCAGAGCACACAGAATAGGACAAAAAAAGACGGTACAAATTTATCGTTTAATCACAAAAAATTCAATCGAAGAAGAGATATTAGAAAGAGCTAAATCCAAAATGGTATTAGACGCACTTGTCGTTCAAGGATTAAATGTGTCAAATACACTAACAATGAATCAGTCTAAATCCGTAGGATTTTCTCGCGAAGAACTAGGAAAAATTCTCAAGTTTGGAGCTACGAAACTATGGTCTAAGAACAAAACCTCAGAAAATAATTTAGACGTAGATTTAGACGCCATTCTTAAAGAAGCTGAACAGTCAAAAGAAGACGATATGTCTGTCCAGTTGTTAAATAGTTATAGTAACATTACTGATTTTAACTATGAAGCTCCGGCCAAAGCGCAAGATTCCGACAAAATAAAATGGACTGAAGTAGTTCCATTGGAGGAACGCCTCAAATACAAACAGGCACAAAAAAAAACAGGCAAAAAGAAACGATCTAAGTTACTTGGTTTTGACCTTTACTTATCAGACGAGGAAAACGAAAACGATTCTACTACCCAGACCGCTGTAGTCAGCAGAAAAAAACGACGTGCAACTACCAAATCAGTTAGTCCAGAAGTTGAAGAAACACCCGTTAGCAAGCCAGTCCGAGTTTCTGCCAGACGTGCGGCCAGGAATTCAAAGAACGCGGCCAACGCAGAAACCAACAACCCAATCTTAAATAAAATTTCTAAATTAAATTCTAGTACTAGCGATCAGTCATCATACTACTCACTTGTTGAATCATGAATTATTTTAATTTGTATTATTAGAATATATTATAATCGTTGTCATAATTATTTAAGTTCCCACTGTGAGCAAGAGTATAGATCTTTTACATTTACTCAAGTAGTACAAACGGCTACGAAAACGTATAAATAATGAGTTTAGTTTTTCATATTTTTGCTTATGAATTTTTAAATTAAACATCTATACAGCCAATTAGGTGACGTAAAAAATGAACCTATTTAATCACTAAACCACGTAATAATTTAACAATGGTTTTGAGTTTTTTCACATTTTTTTCTAACATACGCATGTGAACCAAAGTGCATGTCAAATAGTTTTAATTATGAATAGTACTGAATCTCTATCCGAAGCAACTACCCCTACAGAAATCGAGCAGATTATTGAAGAGCAAGTAGAGACATCTGAATCGGAACTTTACTCAAGTGAAGGTTCAAATGACGAACTCAGCTCTGATGACGAGCAATTTGAAAAAATTCACCCAAGCGGCTTTTGTGGTTGTTGTAGCGGAGCCAAACAAAAGATAGCAGATGAAGAAGTGTTTAGCGACGACGCGGTTGGTGAAGATATCGAACACACCGATTCTGATGAGGAAAAATCAGAACTGGACGAACAAGTTTCAGTTGACGGTGACGAAAATGAAACAAAAGAATTATCTACTGAAGAAGTTGAAGACGCATCTAAGGAAACTGGATTGCATGCTGACGTCGGTGATAGAGCTGAAGTGGATGCTGGCGTTGCTGACGTTATGCCAACTGAGGATGACCAACTTGTTGAAGAATTAACAACAACAACGGAAATTGAAACAGTTACGCACAAAAAGCGTGGACTATTTTCACTGTGCTATGGATCCAGCGTTGACGAAAAAGAAATTGTATACGACGTGGACGACAAAAACACTGACAATGAAATTAAACCTAAAGTAAAATCTGCAATTTTCTCGTTTTGCTGTGGTTCAAAGGTTGCTAATAACATTGTTGAAAATGAGAGCAACAAGAAAGGTTTTAAAGGACCAAATGCCAATAATTTACAATCTGTCATTGCAAACGAATTGGATGATGCAGAAGCGTTCATCGAACATAAAAAAGAAGAAGTAGAAAATTTCGAAAGCGCAGAAGGAGCGGTTAGTTACGAAGAAAAGTACAACTACTACACTCAACGCTTTCCAGAAGAATCAGACGAAACTAAACACCGCTGGAGTACTACCAGAGGTTGTTATTTAGTGTTCGATCCGTCGTTACAAAAATTTACCATCGTTTGGTCTGCCAAACCACTTGCTAAAGCTATTGCGTTCTTCAGCTGTCCTTCGGATACAGAACCTGACAACAAAATTCGTATTGGAGAAAGAATTCCTCTTAACGAGCGAGGTAAACTCTCCACCATTACAAAGTCAACTTTCATCTCGTTTATCAAATATGCAGCTAGGTTTGACGCTGAGTTTTCGTTCCTCACAAGCAATTTATGGAAGTCAGTCACGTTTGGAAACATTGTCATTGTGTTTTTGGAACGCGACGGAACAATTTCCATTGTACACAAGTCTGATAAACCGTATCAAATAAACTGCCCTCAAGCTATTGCTCTTGTCGAAAACGCTTTTAGATTCCAATCTAAACGCAAATCTGTGCAAACTAAATGGACATTAGCTACTTTTGCGGCTACGACTCGATCACTTTCTCAAGCGTTATATTCAGAAATTGATAAGCGACAAAGAATCAGAAAAGATACAGATTAAACCGCAGATCAACAATCTGTACTTAAAAAAACTATCTCAAGCATCGAAAGCCTATGAGTTATTGCTTATAATAGAAAATAATATATACATCAATTGTTTTATAAGGTAAATATTGTATGTAGATAAATAGTCTAATACTAAAAAACTTGACTTAATAATTGTATTCAACGAAATGAGTTAAACTTAGAGTTTAGCTACGGCGAGTGTTTCACGAGCCTTTTCATTTTTAAGTGGGTTTTTGTTTTCAACCTTTGGCAAAGCGCCTTCCTTAGCGGGTCGTAGAACTTCTTGTACTTCCTGAGAGTTGATAATGCGAGCAACGTCTGGGTTGGTCATTAAACCGGAAGGAATGACGAAATCTTTCTTGCTGGCGTAAACGTCGTTAAGTTGTTTCATCGCTTCTTCAGAGAAAATAACAAATCGGCCAGGAACTCCACCTGGAGCAAGTTTAATAAGGTTAAGTCTGGAGACGTGACAAATGTCGACACCGGGAATATTTCTGAAAGCAAGCATGTTGTCGGTCTTGCCGCTGTAGACAATCAAAGGACCAACTCTAACTCTACGCTTTCCGTGCCTAAGTCTGCTGTTTCCAGTTCTAAGTGTTCTGGTTTCGATGATTCGTTTAAGTTCTTTCTCGCAACCAAGTTTCTTTAAAAGGCTGACAGCTTCCTTAGTCTTCTTTAAACCTTCAAGTGCTTGAGTTTCGACAACCAAAGGAAATTCCTTGACTTGAGAAACTTTATGGCCTCTAGCTTGTACCAACGATGACATGGCGGAGCAAGCAAGCGCTGAGGCAACAGCATATCTCTTTTCAGCCTTGCTGATTTTTCTGTGCCATCTTCTGTAGGTCTTGGTAGGCGCATACATACCTCCATCGCGGCACATGTTACCGAAAGCACCTTGTCCGGAACGACTTGTACCGCTACCCTTGATTCTGGGAATTCTAGCAAGAGCTCTACCAGTACCCCAAGACTCAGCACTGTGTTGGTATCCCGAGTTAGGAGAAACAGCATATGGTTGTCTGGCATTTTTAGCCATATTTGTGTGAATATGGTTTATCAAGTCAGCTCTTACTGGTGCTGAAAACACAGCAGGAAGTTCCTGGCGATTGCAAACGGCACCTTCTGACGAATATACGTTAGCACAAATTTGGGCAGACATTTTTAGAGCTAATCTTTATAATTAAAATTTAACCGCTATAAACGTTACGTCTCGTTAACACTCCTAAACATAAATATAAAATAGGAGTCAAAAAAAATTAAAGGTTTTCATACAAATGTATCAACAAGTGAGAATGCGCTCTATGCTTTTTTAATCCGATTTGCGCGTTATATAATACAAGTTTTTTGGATTAATAAAACTAATTGAAATAAAATACTTTTTTCTAAGTGTAATTTTTCAGTATTTTATATAAATTCTAATATGCAGCTTCACAAGCAAAATATTTGAATTCGCAAAAGGCACACCAAATTTTTAGGTATGCATAACAGTATTATAATTCGAACGCTTTTATAATGGCTGGTTTTTCTGTTTCTAGGCTGCTTGTCTCAGCCTTTGTCTTAATAGTACTAATGCTTTTTCCCAGCTATTTGTTTTTATTTTATATTGTGCCTGTAAGTCAGTTATGATCCAAAAACAAACACATAATTGGAAGTAAACATTTATAGGTTTTAAAATACAATGATGGAGTCAAAATAACGATATCGGTGTTGTTGGCAGTTTTCGAAGTTTTAATGATATATTTTTACCTCGCTACAACTCTAGCTGATCCCGGATATCTACCTGTCAACAGCAAAGAAATACCGTTACCTTTTGATTACATTTCAAATGTGGCAACGATCAATGTACGAGGTGTGACAGTGTATTTGAAATACTGCCGTACTTGCAACACTTTACGATTGCCAAGAACGGTTCACTGTTCAATCTGCGACCATTGTGTGTGTAGATTTGACCACCATTGCCCGTGGTTTTCCAATTGTATCGGCATAAGGAACTACAGGAGCTTCATGTTTTTTTTATTAAGCACTTTGGCATGTTTTATGATAATAACTCCCATGGCTGCTGTTAATCTTTACACGTTTTATAAAGAAAGACAGATGAGCCCTAATATTGATGTCAAAAAAATGATATGGCCTTCGATCGTCATTGGACTGATGTTTTTAGTGTTTTTCTGGTTTATTTTGGGTTTGGTTTGTTACCACACTTACTTAATTAGCTTGAATAGAACGACATATGAACACATCAAACATCACTATCACAATAAAATCAACCCTTGGAACGAAAGTTGCTTCAACAACATCAAACTTTTTTTAATTTCGTCTTCACCCCCAGATTTCAATAACGACCAATACCATATCACTTACTCTGCAATGAGCACAGAAATCTCTTTAAAAGACGAAGATTATTTTCAAAACGAACAAACGATAAACCACATACTGTACGACTCGTCCAACGGCTTGAACGAAATGGTCAGAAACGAGAGAAAAAAAGCTTTTTTATCCAGAACTATTGCAAACATAACAGACTCTCAATATGCTTGCGTTCTTCCAGATTAATTTTCATTATCTTACTTTTCAGCAGGAGATAAAACAAGCGTTGGCCGCGATAAATTCGGTCTATCAGACCGTTTATATAATAAATAATTGTATAAACGTAATTTTCACTTAAAAATAAGTTTTTGGCGCTATTTAGCTTTTTTAGTAATTATAAATTCTTTGCCGGAGCTGTGGTGCACGAACAAAAATCGGTTTTTCTTTCAATAAACTATACATAAACTAAGCATTAACACGAATTTAAATGTGCTGTTAAATAACGGTTTCCATAACCAATGACAAGCGAAGTACATAATTCCTATCATGGACAGATAAAAGACGGACTGTTTCATGGAAAAGGCGTTTTGGTTTATAGTACGAAAGAAAAATACGAGGTAAGTTCTACACGCATCAAATGTAATAGGGAGAATTCCAACTTGGAAAGAGACACGGTGCCGGTACGTTTCAGTACGCAGACGGATCGACCTACACGGGAGAATGGAAAGACGATGTGATTCACGGCAATGGAGTTGCCCAATTCAATTCTGGCAACAGATATGAAGGAACGTGGAATAATGGAATCATCGATGGCAAAGGTGTGTTGACCTTTGCAACGGGAGATAGATACGATGGAGAGTGGAAAGAAGGAAAAATGCATGGCTACGGACGATACGAATATGCTGATGGAGACGTTTACGAAGGTGAGTGGGTCGAAGACAAGCGCAGTGGTACTGGTCGAGTAATTTACAACACAGCTTCTGGACTCAACATAGAGTCTTATGACGGGCAGTGGTTGAACGGCGTCATGCACGGCCACGGGGTTTACACTTACGCAGATGGCTCGGTGTACAATGGAGAATGGAACAACGGAGAAATGCACGGAAGCGGCATTTTAAAATACACCGACAACAACGTTTACGAAGGGCATTTTAAAAACGATTTAAAAGATGGGTTCGGCAGTCTCAAATTTGGCAATGGCGACAAATATGAAGGAGATTTCCAGCAAGATCAAATGCATGGAAAAGGGTCAATGATGTACGTCAACGGAGACAAATACGTTGGACAGTTTGAAAAAAATTTAAAACACGGATATGGAGAAATACAGTACGCCACAGGTGACTCGTACATAGGTGACTGGGTCGACGGCCAACAGTCGGGATTTGGAGTTTACGTATATAAAAACGGCTCCAGATATGAAGGTATGTGGAAAGAAAACCAGAGACACGGAACTGGCTTGTTCTTTTGCTCAGCAGACCAAGGAGTCTACGAAGGAGAATGGGTTAACAACAAAAAAAACGGAAAAGGACAGCTTTTGTTTAAAAATGGTATGCGTATCACGGGAACGTGGAACAGTGGCATAATAGACACTATATCGCGCTTAGATCTAGCCACAGACTCTGTTTGGAACGATCCCAACCTATAGTTTTTTGTTTCATAATTTTGTTTTTAAGTTTTTTAATTGCTCTATTATTCGTTAATAAACATATATAACTAAATAATTTTAATTAACACTTTATTGTTGTTATTTATAAACTAATACGTCAATTTTCAAAAATACGGTGGTATAAAAGTTATAAGCCGATCAAAAAACTTTGAACATCTTTTGTTAAACCAACGATGTCAGAAGAAATAATAGTAAGTCGTTAGATCCAAAGACTACATAGACTATTAACAATTTTGTCGCTGGAAACTGGCATGAAATTCCGCACAATAATGTGCGAAAAAACACACCAAAGGTAATTACTAGTATTCAAAAAATAGTTTACGAGCCTTTGCAGCACAAACAGTTAAACAAATTAACACTAGTTCATGAAAAAAATTTATCTTTTTCCGAGATTTCGACCTTAATTGTAGAGCTTATTAATTCGGAAGACGAAATCGATCATATTCTAGCAATTTTTATTTCATTCGACTTTCAACTGCAAGAACTATTTTTGCAATCGATGTTGAAAGTGTTATCTCATGAAATTTTAATCAATACTCTGATTCCAGACATATGTGAATGTTTGTCAAATATACTCGATGGCAGTTTTAACACCGCTTCGCAATACATAAGTGACCTGTTGTCTATACAACCTCAGGCCAATCAGTTTCTTTTGGTGTTAAAAAAATCATTAGATTTGGTCAACAACGACAATAACGTAAATTTCAATGATTCTAACTCGTTTTATTGCGAGTTTGAACAGATTAATAAACTAATATATACGAATACGAACGAAAAAAATGAAATTGAAAAATATTTGTAAGTTTATCACTAATAAGCATTTTAGAAACGATAATTTAATAAGCCACCCAATAATTTTATCAGCTATAAATGAATTCAATTCAACTTGGTAACTAATAAAAATAAAATTTATTTAATTAATTCATTATTGATACCAGTTACGTTAGTGTTATATAAATACAAACAAAAAAATATACGGTGAGGGAGGATCGAACTCCCGACCTTCTGCGTGTTAAGCAGACGTCATAGCCACTAGACCACCACCGCTTAAAAACATTTCCTTTACATGATTCCACATTTGGTTACACGACATACATGAAAAATACGGTCGGGGAGGATCGAACTCCCGATCTTCTGCGTGTAAAGCAGACGTCATAGCCACTAGACCACGACCGCTAATGTTCTAAAATAGAACTGAGAAAATATTCGAACGAACGGAGTGGAAGTCAGGTATATGAAAGTATATTGCTTGTGTAATAATCGTTTATATCTTGGTCAAAATTCGAGTAGAACCTGTACCAAGAGGAGGTGCTTTTCCAACAATGATAGAACCCGTAGGACTATTTAGGTTGTCCGTTGCGCGACGAGACAACCCTGAACACAAAAACTTGAACGCTGTTTCGAAACTGAGCTGCAGAAGAGGACTGCTGTGGTGTGCCATACCAATTCGACTCAAGCTTCGATACTCACCAGAACTCGTAAGTGTGTCTGCAACTAAAGACAGATGTCGGAAATCTACCACGATACCGTAAGACCCAAATACAGTTTGAAGTTCGCGAATAATTGTAGCTCGAGCTGCTTCAATGCCAAACGTGAGAGAAATGGCTTTAATATCGTTACAATAAATATGATGGTGGTCTATCAATTCGGAGTCGAAATTTAGGAGGCGTTGTAAATTATTGTCTCTGACGTGCATTTCGTACACGTATCGGTTGTCGAAAAGCGAGTATTTGGTCGTTGGATAAATTTGAGGAAGGTCCTTCACACCAGAATAATATAGCATCGTTTTCGCAATACGGGATTTAGCAGCGTTGAGCACATTGACTTCGCGCGGACATGTTTGTTGTGATATAACAAATCGAATGTCAACGGTCCACGTGTCTTTGGAAAATTTGAAACCGTCCATGAAACGATAACAGGCCGACGGCAATGTTCGAACTTTGACTTTTTGCGCGATATCTTTATCAGAAACTGACAACTCCGACACCTCGTGAGATTCGGATGAACCGTCAATGGATGTGCCGCAGTTTTCAATATCTATGTTAAACTTAGACGACGCTTCAGAATCGCTATTAAATGTGCTCGCGTCTTCTTCAAATTCGTTTTCATCTACTGAAGTCGTGTCTTGCATGTCATCGTTATCTGAATCGACAGAATCTGAAGCGTCGGAATTGTCTTCTTCAGCAGTCGAGAATCTGTTCTGTGTTTGTTCTTCGTCGGGTTCTTCAGCTGCAGGTTTTGAATGTAAATAGTCCAAGTTGGTTTCTCCTCCTGTTATATCGTTATCTCCAACAGCAGCCCCGGAGCTACTGCTCTTCTTAATATTTTTCTTTAAAGACATGCGTCTATCGGAAACTTTGACCAATCTTTGAATAAGTAACTTGTCAGCGGTTTCGGATAATTCGTTTACATTAGGAGCTAAAGATTCAAAATTAGCTTTCATTGCTGTAGAACGAACCAGCTCGTTAAAGTCAAAAGCGAGTTGGCCCAAAAACTTATTGTAGATAAACATGAAAAGTGACTCTGGGGTAAACATGGGAACAGCCTTGCAGAAATGATCTAAGTTTTCGAGCTGCAGCGTGCATTTATATACCCAGTACTTTTCAAGTTGATCTTTCTTTGTTAGTTTGTAACAAAGATTTGTCTGCACTCCCACCGAATTTATAATATCCTGCAAAAACACCGATCTAATGCTATCTAAAGTTCGATCAATGTTTCGGCTTGCTTGCTTCTTATTTCCTGTAAGGGGCGCAATGCAAAGTGGAGTGGAGGCAAATCCTGCAGTATGGATGATTTCATTAAGCCTTGGAATACCTAATGTAACGTTTGCTGCCCCGTGACCCGCCAAGTGGAAAGTGTTCAATGTCATTTGTGTGGCTGGTTCTCCTAGTGACTGGGCAGCTAAGCAACCTACAGGTTCTCCCGGACAAGAAAGAGCGTTCTGGTATATAAGTCTTAACAGCAAATCCAATTTTTTAGCCGAGATAGGCCTTAGCTGAAGAGTCGGTGGTGCGCTAGTCATGCCATTGATTAATTTGTTTTGCGTGTTTAATTGATAATCAGCGTAGTTTTCCGAAGTTGCGCCTAAATAAAAGTAAGGATTGTTTGGCGAAGTTGTTGTATCATCATTATTGTTTGTATTGATATTTGTTTTAATGGATTTCTTTATTAGGTAATTTTGTTCCTTGGAGTCCAAATGAAAACGTCTCTTAGAAATTTCAAAATTATTGATGTAAATTTCAGAATTCTTGAGAAGAGAGGCTTTAGAAACATCGATACCATCTTCTCCATATAAAAACTGCACTATACTTGAATCTGAATCACGGACAGTGCCGTCGAAATGGACTTTCATTCCTTCCATACTTTTCATTATACAACGCTGAAGATACCCAGATTTCGATGTTTTAACTGCAGTGTCTATCAAACCTTCTCGTCCTGCCATACAGTGGAAATAGTATTCTTGAGGACGTAGACCGGCCATATATGAATCAGTAATCAAACCGTATGAACGTGAACCAAAATCGTAATAACCGAAAGAAGGAAGTGTTTTTCCGGAAATCATTGTAGGCATTCTTTTTCCTTCTAAACTCTGTTGAGAAAGCATTCCTGAAATCATACCGAAATTGATCTTTGAACCTTTGGCTGCTGTGAAAATCATGCTTGCGAACCCGTTGTTAGGGAATGGGTAAAGCAGAGTGTCTGGGGATACGACATCGCTTGAAGTGCTTGTGATTGTGCTCATTGAACTTTGGAAATATTTACCAAACAAGTCAATAACTGCTTGTTGTTTACCTTTGAATTTTTCAGTGATAAGTTTTTTAAATTCTGTGCATATCGAAATATACAGCTTCACGTTTAAATCTTTAATGGACTTGATTCTGATCAAAGATTTGCTTATTACCACCTGGTTGTCGTTGTATCTGGCTAAATCCCAAAAATCAAACTTGTTGTTTTGAACATTCCAAACCCACGACGGAAATTGCTTAGTAATTCTATTTCTGTAAACATCGGGAAGTGCGCCGAACAAAGAAGAAGTATTACTGAAAATGTCAGATCTTGAATAAATAATACGAACAAGGTACTGAGTTATGCGAGTAAAGTCTGAGAAGTTTTCTCGAATAAATTGTATAAGTTGTTTGAAAGTTTCAGTGAGAAGTAAGGCACCCGATTCTGTTTGAGATAGATATCTTTGGCTATCTAGCAAAGAGGAGATTAAGGTCAAACGGCTTACCAGTTCTTCATTCACTGCTTCATTTTGAGACTTAAGTAACTTACGAAAACCAGAAAAGCTCGATATGTCATACGTCTCATCTTTGGTGTGAGTGATAGAGGTAAATGAATATTTTTCTCTGCAAATAGAATTAACGTTATCGTGTGTGAAATTTTCAGAAATGTTATCAGCAAAGAGCTGCAACAATTTTGAGTTATCACTAGAAAAATCATTGTCATCATGCGTGTGAGTTTTATCAATATTGTTCAAAAACTGAGTTTGAAGTAATAGAGAAGCCGTTGAACATCTTTGCAACAGTTCCGTTCGCCTGTCGAGACCCTTCCGGTTCAATTCAAAATCTGCTAAACCGCAAGTAAATCCTCTAAATTGAATATATGTTGTGAACGCTCGGGAAAAACAAGATAATAATATTCCAGCTACACGTGCGTTTAATAACTCAGAGCAAACGTGAACTAGACCATTAAAGGAAGCACCATACTGGGTTTTATCGAAAACTCCTTGTAAAAGCTCACTGTTTTGAATTACAACTGTAGCCTCGTCATTATCAGTAGTAATGATACCGCGCCAAGCTGTTACGGATGTTTTAGATTTGCTCTGCAAATTGATTCCCTTGTAGTTTTCCGTAAAAGACTTGTCAAGTTTCAAGTTGGAATTCAATCCATACAAAGACATAGCTGCATAGTCCACAATAGTTTTCAGCAAGGAAGAAATAACCTGTTTTCCAGTCCACAGCTGAACAGGGTAAAATATCGTGGGTGGTTCTATACAAACTTTATGCAGAAACGTATTTGCCAATTGAGAAAAAGGATCACCAGAAGTAAGTTCCCGGTTGATGACGTTTGCTTCAGACAAATTGATCAATCCATTTTTGTCGACGTATTTCGCAACAGCCGAATATATAATTTGTAAATACTCGTCTTTTCTCAAAAAAGTTCCTTTTACAGTCAGCAAAGCTCCAGAAACAATGTGGTCTTGAATTAACCCTCTCAATGGAGCTCCATTTCTGGGGTTTGTATAGTTTGTATCAGCGTTCATAAGTATCGCGGCTTCAACCTGTGCGGTCGGGTTTTGTAAACAATGTAAATTCATTTCGTCTCCATCGAAATCGGCATTATAACCAGAACAGTTAGTATAGTGCAGTCTAAAACATTTCTGATTTTCTAAAACGCGAACGAAATGCGCTAAAATAGACGGTTTGTGCAAAGACGGTTGCCTGTTCATTAAAACAGTGTCTCCATTTTTCAAATGTCTTCGAAGTATGAAAGGCTTACCTTCGATCTTGTCAAGATTATCCAAGGATGCCTGGAGGTTGGAACGTATTTCATTGCACAAATTGGCTTTTTGAGTTTCGTTAAGTGGCTTCCGAATAAAATCCAGGATTCTTCCCGACGGGTAAGTTAAAAAATTGCAACCTGGATATACTGTTGCACCGTTGTTTATTCTTTGACAAACTTCGTCTATATTGAGTGTATTTACAAATATGGGAACAGATAATTTCATTGCAAACTCTTTTGGAATACCGATTTCATTAGTATCAATTTGACAGTCTGGAGCAATAATAGTTCTCGCTGCATAGTTTACTCTTTTACCCATCATCTTTTGACGAACGGCTCCGCTCTTTTTTTCAAGCCATTGCCGAACGCCAGCAGGAGCAGATTTATCTTGTGATTTGTTGCCGTCAATGTAACTGTTGATAAATTGCTGAAGTTTTGAAACTTGAGAATGTAAAATACTATAATTTCCGTGAACCTTGTTATAAAAATCAGTAATAGATGATTTGTCAAGCTTCGAAAACTTGAATTCACTGCAGGATTTTAACAATTCATTGTCGTAATCGAAGAGTAAGTTTTCATTAGTAGCTCTAAGAGTATATAAGATTAAGAGAACATCACTGTTTGTTCGTATGATTTTTTGAAGTGCTTGGGTGTGTGGGTGGAGTAACTTAGCCGTTCCGCTAGATACAATGTTCTCACCGAGTGGGCGGAACTTGTTGCTAGGAACCAGAATAGAGTAGTAAAAAAAAGTTTTTTCCAACGTGTTTTGAGTAATGGGAACCATCATGTTAATGAGTGTTTTATCTTTGCTTGCAAACAATTTTTTAAGTATAGATTCCACCTGATAAGACGATAACATAACTCGAGCAATTCGCTTGTTGTTCCGTCCAATAACCAAAGTCTTTTGTTTTTCCGCATGAATTTGAGCGATTGTTATTTTTTGTATGTCTTGTTCAATTCCTTTCATGCATTCACCGGTATTTTCACTCGACTCCGTTGGAATTTGAAGGAATGTATGTTCTTCAAATGGCGGCTGATGAGAAAACTGATACTCCAATTGGATGTCAGAAAAATTAGCGGCTGCTTTGTAACTTATGGAAATAGTGTTGCCGCAATGAGGACAATTGCTCGAGCTGGCTTCCTTGAAAAAAGTTGATTTTAAAAATTTCCACGACTCAATTGTAGTGATACTTTCGCCGATCAGCAAAGCGAAATTAGCTATGTCGTTTCCAGCTGATATTTTACTATGAATGTTCTTGGCTCGATGGAATAGCTCAAGAAATTTTGACCTGTCGAATTCGTGTTCGGGAAATTCGTTCAGCTCTACGTTTACTTTGAACTCTTTTGCTTCTTCTGTCGAAAGGTAATGTTGATATTTACGCAATATATTGCCCTGCTTAATCACGTCGTCAAGTAGTCTATATTCCTTCGTCTGGAACAGATTGAAACATAGCTGAAGATATTCGTTGTCAATGTCCGTTAGCTTCAATCTGCAACATTTTAAGCAAGTCAACTTGAGTAGGTCTAACAGTTCAGAAAACAAAAGGGGATTAAACAACGGAAGTGCTAAATTTATATGGCCCAAATGTCCGGGGCATTTGAAATATTTGTTACAATATCCACACGATTCACCATTACCAAAAAAACCTAGCCTAGAATCGTGTAGGCCATACTTTACAGGCACGTTGTTTTTGAAAATTTCATAGTTCGTAATTTCTACCACACTTATTTTTTTGATTTCATCTGGATGAAAGATATCTATCGTTAGCTGCGAAATATCGACGTCTGGAGAAAGCTCTAAATCATTTTTCATGCTTCAAAGTCTCTAACTGAGGTTTTCAAATGTAAGCGTAATTTTTAGAAAGCTTTACTATATTCTCACCGCAAAACTGCTTATTAAAACATATAATGAAAAAAAAATTTTTTCAAATAGGTATAAAGAGGATTATAGACGATTTCACAATTATTAAACTTTAAGTAAATAATATATATTTTTTTTATGATTGTGTTTCTTCGTTTTCCCACCAGTGACTTATAGCTACGCTGAAAACATTTGTGTACACTGCATGATAAACTTTTTTCGGAATGTAAATTGCGTCGCCTGCGTTTAAGATTATCAAGGCGATGTCGATTCGTTTGTTTTTTTCTTGATTATCGTCAATAATATCGTTAATTAATTCTTTGCAACTTTCCAAACTCATATTGTACGAGTTTTTGCAGTATTTCGATTTTTCCACATCTCCAAGTGCTTCTTCGTTTTCGAAGAAAACAATGTATTTGGTTCCATATAAGCAGACGTAAAAATTGTTGAAGTCATCATAGTGAGGAGGAGAATATGCTTCTACACTGTTGATCCACCATTGTTCAACGAAAGAAGGTTTATTGCATTTGAATTTAAGAAGATCTCTCAATTTTTTTTTACCGAACTCCTTAACGTTCTTTTGAATTAAAATCTCGACTAAATCGAGCCGTTTGCAAACATTATCAGCATCAAGATGGTTTCTCAGCGGGTATTGCGCCAAATATCCATTTTTCAACCATATGTTCTTGAATTGGTCGATTTTAATTGTCCAATCTGTGTTAGTGTACGACTTTCCGTATTCTAAAGTTACATAACGCTCTGAGTTTTGAATTAAAAAATGTAACAATTTGTCGTTCGTTACTTCGTCTATAAGTAACTCACTGATGCAGAAGATTTGATCTGCAGCAATTATTTTTACTAGTAGTTCTACATTTTTGTCTTTAAGGTCGATAACGTCAATGAAATAATTTTTTACTTCTGCTTGTTTATTGTATAAACAATAAAGCTGTTCCAGCTCGTTAAAACTCGCAATAGTTGGTTCTAGAGCATTGTATTCACTTATACTAAATTCTTGAGAAGCAAATCCACTATAGATAACGGAATAATCAAATATCTTTGTATCTTGATCTCGAAATATTAAATAATAAATCATACAAAAGGTTGAGAATAAAATATCAATTATTTCTTTGAAAACACAGTTTTGTTTAATAAGGTTTAGTAGTTTGCTGAAACAAGTTCGAAATGATATAGCAAGTAGGCAGTTTTTGTCGAGTAATTCGTATTCGTTGAAACCTGGCAAATCGTTGTTTAGTTTTTTAAAATAGTCAATAATCATTGGAGATTGTATAAAAATTGATTCTTCTTGTTCTTTAGTAATCAGAGCATCCTGACTGTAAATTTCGATAATCCGTAAAATGTTATGATAGCCAGAAATAATATGAGAAAGTACGCGATTTTGTTTAGCTTTATCCTCTGAAGCGATCAGAGCAGTCAAATAAATAAAAAATACGAGGTTATGAACTTTTTCGATTTTTAACGTTTCAGAATTAAGTGAAACGATAATTTTTATGAGTTCTTTGAGTGCGTTGATTTTGCCATACGTTCGAGGAGTATCACAATGAGGAAAAATATTTTCGAAATTCATGCGTTTTATCGATGCAAATGCGAAAGCTTGCCAATTGATATTTATATTTAATTATGTGTGTGATGCCATATTAATTTAGATCTATTAAGTGGTAAAAATACGGATAGGACTAATTCTACCTTTTATATTAAAAAAAAACATCAATTTATAATAAACACATTAATTAATTTCAAAAGAGAGACTATAATAACATGCGTTAACGAAAATTTATTTAATCATAATTGAAGATTTGAAATTATTTTAGTAAATGACTACTGCAGATGAAGTAGTGCAATTAAACGATCGTAGCGTAAGTTTCACGGAAAACAGCTTTGCTAGCGTAAAAGATTAATTAAAGATTTTATGAGTCTACAAAACGATACGCCTCCAGGCGTAAATGCATATCCATTAAAGCAAAATCTGGCTCAATGGCACGGTTTGATTTTCGGTCCAGAAGATACCGTATGGGAAGGCGGCATTTTTGTCTTATCCATTAAGTTCCCGGAAAACTATCCTGATAAGCCACCTGTGGTTAAATTTGTGACTAAAATTTTCCACCCCAATGTTTACGCTGACGGCTTGCTATGCTTAGATATTCTACAAAATGAATGGAGTCCCATATACGACGTTAAAGGCATTTTGATGTCAGTTAGGTCGCTGTTAACAGACCCAAACCCGAATTCACCGGCGAACGCTGAAGCTGCTAAACTATATATACATAATAAAAGCGAATATATGCGATCTGTTCAAAAATGCGTATACGAAAGCATTAATTCAGCAGAATTGCCGCTTGAGCAGTAGCCAGCGTCAATTTAGATGAGATGAATTTCACATGCAAAATCTTGTTTTTATTTGATCCCACATAGATTTCTTGTCTAGACAACTTATCTAATGTGTTAACAAAGAAAAACTATGTACCAATACATATTTTACAGTTTTTTTTGTAATAAAAGAAATGTTTAATTAGTGTTTCTGTGTGTTGTAGGGAGTAGAATACATATAACTTTTTGACTGCCCAGAGCTGTATGGTTCGTTTTTGATGTTTATCTCACCTCCTGTACGTTGCTTATAGTGATAACGTAAAGATGCAATGTACTTTTTGCTGTGAGTGTTTGGAATGATAGCCTGAAGCATGTTTGAAGAACAGATTTTTTGCAAGTTGTAAACTATCTCAGCTGGGATATGGCTAGGTGGCACGAATTGTGGAGACAGAATTAGATCTAACGTTGAATGTGCGGCAAACTTACTTTTGTAGTAGTCAATTTTCGCGATAATGTGTCTGCGTCCGTTATCGTGCTGTTTACGTCCCGAGGGAGAAGAATGAGACAACTTAACTTGACAATATTCACAAAAAAATTTTCCCATTCACTCTTTATATGCTTAATTGCTTTATTTTTATTTTCTAAATTAGTTTTACATCCAAATTTAATTTTAAAAGAAAATAATACCTTATAATGCACTTGAGCTGTAGTCTCTGAGTCGCACTTCAAAATCTTTGCATTTCAACATGTGTATTAATTTTTTTCTTGGTTTTATTTCACTTTCTTTATTAGTAATTGATTTTATGCTAAACCCAGAAAGGGAGAAGCTAATTGCTTCAAAACTTATTTTCACCGTTGAAAACGCTTTTGAAGAAAAAAACACAAATTGAGCTTTTGTGTTGCTTAATATATCTAACGTCCACTTAACCACGGTGGAATTACGAGTTTTGACTAAGTCACCTTGCGTTACTTTTTCGTGATGAATGTCATCGAACATGTTAAAGACTAACAATAACTTTTCACATTCAAAAGGTCTGTCTAAATATGCGTTTGGGAAGTCTGCATTATTGGCCAGTACTAGACTAATGGTATATTTAGTAAAATCGGAAGACGCGTCAGCGTTTTTTTCCATTGTCAGTTTGATAGGCAGATTGAAGCCTGAGATAATATTTACAGAGTAGCGTACCAACGTTTGAAGTCCGTAGCAGGGATTGAAATACAAGCTTTTGCTTAAGAAATTATCAGTTAGTTGAGTGAGCTGTTGGCTCCAGTACCAATCGCTTTTTTTAACAAACTTGCCAAGATTAAAAACAAGATCAAACTCTATCGATTTTGGCAATGCCGATAAAACTTCACACTCTCCGGACAATGACATGCTAACCGTGGTTAGTTTGTTTATAGGAGTAAAATATCCAAAACCAGAAATAGTTTCTTTGATTCGGAAATAAATATTATCTTCTTTAAAGACGGGCGATAAGTTGCTTAAAGTTGGTTGTTCAAGTTCTAGACATTGGTTGGACATATGCCACACAGTACGACCAAGGTTCATTATACCGCCTTTACTGTTGGAAATTGCATTCTCACTACCAAACGGACTGATCCTTAGCGGTTCTTGCCGAAATATTTTACCAGAAATGCTCTTAAAAAAGTCAGATGACATGGAAGTTTTAGGAGGGATAAGTGCGGCGCATATATTAGTATTGAGCCCAATATATTTCCCTTTCGCCGTAAATAAAAGTTCAAACGCCGTCATTACGGCTGATTTGTTTTCTTGAAGATATTCAGACACACCTTTGTCTGTTGAAAAACTGTTTAAACCAATTGAACTCAAGTTGTTAAACAGGTTTAAGCAAACAAAATCCACGAAGTTTCGGTGTGTTAAACTATGTATTCGAGTGCAGAAATTATTTTGACACGGCGTTGAAACAAAATCGACCGAGCAAGATGTATCAACCTGTTTTTCAGATTCATTGTAGCCCAAAATTATCACTAGCGGAAACGATTTAAAAATGTGGTAACCTTTGTCTATGTCATTTTTATAATTCAAACGATCTCTTCTTGGTAATTTTGCTGTAGAGTTCCATTTTTTAAATCCTATTGTGTTATCTGCGATATCGTCAAAAATCACAACATAACTAAATTCATTCATTGCATTTCAAACTATATTAAATCGATTGGTTTAAGCCGGTTAAACACAAGTGTTAAGATCTCTCGTATATTCTTATGTAAATGTAATTCAAAACGTGTGATCAATTCTCACGTTGAGTTTTTAGACAATTTTATATTGTGGTTAGTTCAATTTAATTAAAGTAACACCCAGTTTTTTTTTAAAAAAAAAAATAATAATTTATTTATTTAAAGCAAACACAGTTCATTCATGAGCATTTACATAAGAAACCAAAATGCTTAGTCAAGAAGTTGTTGATAAATTAGAAGTACTTGAAAATACAACATCTATAGAAAAGATAAAGGCTATTTTAATTACTATTCCGGGAAACTATTATGCTTGGAATAAGTTTTTGACACTAATTGAAGCTCAGAATCCGTGCCAAAACGAACTTAGGCAGTTTTCTAACCTAGTGTTAGAAAAAGGAGCGAAATGCTACCAGGCGTGGAATTTTCGTAGAATTTTATATTCTAATTGTACTGATTCTGCGTTAAAACATAAAGTTTTACAAGAAGAACTAAATTATGTCGAAGATTATATTTCCAAAGACCTGAAAAATATGCACGCGTGGGATTTTTACGGTTTTTTGCTGGCAGAAAAAAGCATATTGAAACAGTACGCAGTAGATAGTTTCTTTTTCTGTATAGATTTATTGCGAATTGACGCGGCAAATTCTAGCGTGTACAACCACATATGTTGGTTACTAAAAGAAAGTAAAGATCAAGTTTTACTTTATGTGAAAGAATTCATTGTGGGTCTCTCACAAAGCAAAGTCGCAAACACTTTTTTATCAGAATCAACACTAAGCTTTCTAGTTGGCGTGCTGAAACATATGCTTAGTTTGGAAGTTACAGGTGAAGAAGAGCAAAATACATTGCAAGAAATAAAAGCTGGAGCGTTTTCCTTCGTTGAATACGTAAGTTAAAATCTTTTAACCAACTGATAATTTTTAGAGCGAGAAAAACTTGCTTGAACTGTCAGATCCAATATTATTTTGCAACGGGATCTTGATAAATTTACTAAAACTGTATATCGAACTAGGTCTAAAGCCCGTGGAACGTCCCCTGTATGAAACAATGGAAAAAGTGCTTCAGCACCCACTTCTAATAACTCTGATTGATAGTTTAATGTTGGAGAAGTTAGCTTAAAGACTATTCAGAATTTTTCTTGGGGTTGGCTGCTCGCCGAGCCGGGCCCCAGTTTTTTTCTGGATTCGCCACGAATTTTAGGACTTTTTGCTCAGTGTTGAATTTTTCGTGAATCGTAGGGATAAAATATTTTTTCGGCAATTTGTACTTGTAATCTTTTGTAGCGTTAGCCGGGTTGGTGAATTCTATGCAGTAATGAATTAAGTCCTTAAGTACGAAAAATGGGGCATCTGTTTTTATGCTCAAGGGCTCTCTGTGGAACAGTCCGATCCTGTAGCCTATGTTCAGCAACGCACTCAAAAGCAATTTTTGCTTGGGAACTGACAGTTTCATATTTTTACATATCAAGGGCAAACTGTAGAACAGCGGAATATCGTCTAAATCTTCCTTGATAACGTTAAGCAAACCAGAAATTTTCGGAAAAGTTTTTCTGGACAGATGAGTGAAAACAAAAGTTTGTTTGTCGGAGTTAAAACGATTCTTAACCTTGTCCACTAGTTTGTTTCTGTCATTAGAGTCGTCAGTAACTACATTTATGTTTTGGCGTTCTGTTTTGTGCTGATTGTTAAAAGAAGTGTCAACATTGTCTGAAAACTGGTTAATTTTACTGATTTCAGCGATTACTTGGGACACAAATTCCTGATCGTGCAGTGGACCAGTGTACATAGGCCCCGTAAGTTCGGTTTTATTATTGCATTCAGGACATTTTCCAGCATTGGCTTTTGTTTGAAAACGCGCAACGGTGTAAGCAGCTTCCAGAGGTAGGTTGCGAAAACCTGAAATTGGCTCAAAAGGAGTGACAGACTCTGGTTTGATCGGTTCCTCGGTTTCTTCTTCCTTATTTTGCTTACCTAAGCGACGTTTTTTGTTTTTGTCCTTCTTTTTCAACGATGTGCAAGCGTCACCCAAGCCTTGAACCTCATACCAAGAACAGTTAACGCAATTTCTCACGAGCCCTGTCTGGTAAGCGTTAGATTTACATAGTGAAGGCTTATTCAAAACTAAAACAAAGATCCTAACGTAAAAGTCTACTGACAAGCTTATCAGTGGTTTAATGAATTTTCCATATTTTCCTGCCACTACTCGCATTGCGTTTAGAACTATACGTACGCTAGCTTCATGTAAAAATGGTCGTTTGGTGGCAGTACCATAATATTTTGAAAAGCAAACTTCAGGAATGTTTGCTCCAAGTACGCACATATCAGTCGAGGTGACGCAAAGCAGACCTCTGTCCTTAATGTTGGATATTGCACTGTCGAGGAATGGAGCAATACTGCCGTACGGATCAAGATCAATAACATCAAATTTGATATTGTTTTCATATTTATTTTTGAAAAGTAAGTAGTTAATGTCCCCTTGCTGAATTTCCATCAATGAAGCTGGAATTTCGTTCAAGTCGCGTTGCAGCTTAGCAGTTGCGACAGCAGTAGGGTCTAAATCGCAAGTGACAACTTTTCTCACATAGCTGGCAGGCAATTCTTTGGCCCATCGCATTGAGCGAAGCCCAGACGCTGCCAAACCTTCACAGAGCGTTACCCCCTCGAAAATAGCAGGCATGTAAGTTCTGTCATGTGACTTTTCGTATTTTTCTATCTTACTTTGAATGACATTTTCTGCATAACACTTTATTATTAATAACGTTAAATCTCTATTAAACACTTGTGCACTGTTATAAAACACAGTTTCATCTTCTTTATCTGTGGGTAAGTCAGCACTACCTATTAAATTCACGCTGTGAAGACTAACAGAACCTTCTGTGAGATTAAACTTTTTATCATTATTATTCATTTTGTAGTTTGGATTATCAGCCGAATTTTTGTTTCCAAATTTACTTGCAGTTTAAAACAAATTTTTTGCCTATTATTTTTTTGCATATAATAATAACCGAAAAGCTTTGTTATTTGAAGCCCGCTATATTTCTAGCAGCAAGTTGAGTTCTTTCTGCATATTTCTTTTGTATTCTTGTGAGCCTTCATTAGTGTATCTTTCTGAGTTTATAATACTCGTTTTGTTTTTTGACAATATTAAATATGACTCTAAATGCGATGGAATAGGGTACCACAAATCAAACGATTCCGGATACAAAATCGGCAAATCTTCAAACAGATATAAAGTGGGGTCGCTATCAAAAATAATGTTTTGGTTTTTTTGCTGTAAGTATTGAAGCAGCGTAGATTGTGTATTTTTTAGGCCCTGCACGTTATTCAACGTGAAAAATGTCTTATGGTCTATGTCCAAAAACGACAAATCAGATTTTGCTCTGCATAAATTGATAAGTATATTAGACGCCTCCGTAAGACCCGGGGTCTCCTTCCTTGATTTGACTTTTACGGATAAAGCTTCGTTTTTTAGAACAGTTGCAGTATTTGCAGGCATTGAAACTGCATCGTTATAAAAGTCCAAAGAAAATAGCGCGGGAATCTCGTTTGTGCTTGGATGTTTTTTATATTGTTCGAACAGCCGTTCGGCCACAACGTCAAGATACGTTTTCGATATTTTCAGGTCTGTCTTTGTTAATTGTGTGAAATCTTTTGTTTTTTGGCATCTAGTTTTAGAAAAGCTTTTCGCATACTGCAAAAGGCTATCTGAATAAATGAAATCCTTGAACACGTCCGAAATCTGAGTACTATTCATTGTAAGAATCTTTTTGGTCAGATTGTGATCGTACATTTGTAAAGCGTTGAAAACGTCTATAAACGTGACTAATGCATGGTTCCGCAATTTTGAAAAAATCAACACTTGCTTGAACAGCCCAGACATGTAATTGTTGATTTGATTAGTGATATTTTCGAGTTTTTTTTTTTTTATTTTGGTTTGGTTTTTTTTAACTCGTATGTAATGGGCTATGTTTAATCTATAGAGCGAACAATTTATGCCAGATTCGTTCGCAAGGAATGCAGAATTGCCTATACAAAATATCTTAAATTTAACTTACATTTATAGATTTTAAGCGGTTTGGACGAACAGTCACTGGTTGTTTCCGGTTCTGCATAATAATTTACAAAAGTATCATTACCCGACGACTGATAATTTTTTTCATCATCGTTCATGTCGTGATTAGCTATTTAAGTAGACTCGCATCTGCCTTTAGGATTTGTTACTACGATTATTATTTATTTATTTTTTTAAGCGCTCTTTTAAACGGTTAATTCAGCCACTGATGCCAAAAACAGAGTTGAGTGGCTTTGAAGAATTAGCGTCGATTGATTTTTTTTCACAAAAAGTTTTGGCTGATGTAAGCAAGTGCAAAGTCGATGTGAACAAGATAAGATATAAGCCTTTTGGAGTTGATGACATTTCAAAACTGTACGAAGTAAACCTGGATGATCATACATTTGTGTTTGATACATCGTTTTATTTAAGTTACGCTATCGAAAATTATCTAGGATCTCGCGTAGCTATCGACGAATATGGAGAAATTATTGGATATTTGCTTGGAACAGTCACGTGGACTTGCCGAGAAATGCCCAAAGCTCACATTAGTGTTTTGACTGTTACTTACCCGTATAGAAGTACAGGTGTAGCGCACAATTTAATGCGCTACTTTGAAGAAGCTGCGTTTGCTTTGGGAGCAATGTACGTTGATTTATTTGTTGATCAGACAAATGGTCGAGCAATAAAATTTTACAAAAATCGGAATTATAAAATCGAAAACGTTATTGAGCATTACTACGGGCTGAACAAAGACGCGTACCAGATGGTTCTCTGCAGACCCAAAAACCTGCATAACTATGTGGTCATTTCGGACGAAAATTCGCTCGAAACTGCATGCGGAGGCCGTTTTGGTCTGTAAGCTGCTTACTCAGTCTTCTTCTTTATTATTTGGACGACGTCTTCGTCTTCTAAGACGTGGTCTAGCGTTACTTGTTGCGGGTAAAACTTAACTGAGGTTCCCCACACCATAGCGCTTTTAGCACTTTTCAGCAGGTCTTTGTGAATGTAAGGCAAGAGATTTTTAATTGAGGCACCTCCGCGCTGAAATGTTAAGATGATTGGTTCTTCAAAGTTTGGTTCAGACAATGCTCGTTTTGTATACACTCGAACGATGTTTAAGTAACCCCATAATACATGTAACAACTGGTCGAGATTCCATTTTCTTTCTGAGCTAATGCAAACAGAATCTGGCGACCTTGCCAAAGCGTCAATTTGATCGATACTTAGCATATCTATTTTGTTATAGACGTATAGACATTTTATGTATTTTCTATTTCCCTCAATAACGTCGATAAGACTTTCGGGACCGCAGTCTTCTCTGAATATTACATCAGCGTTGAATACCTTGTACGTATTTAGTATTGTTTGACATAATTTTTGATTCATGCGGGTCAAAGGTACTGTTGAGTTGAACAGAATTCCACCGTGCGCCTTTCGTGTTATTGTGATGTTGGGCATTGATTTGTTTAGTCGGATGCCCACAGTTTCAAGCTCGTACTCCAAACGCTGTCGCTGTTCAGCGTCTTTTGTGGCGTCTAAAACCATTAATATTATGTCGGCACTGCGTGCCACTGCAATAACTTGACGCCCACGGCCTCTTCCATTTGCTGCACCTTCTACTATACCTGGCAAATCTAATAACTGAAGCGTTGTGTCCCTATATTTTATTATACCTGGCACACATGTCAGCGTTGTAAACTCATATGACGCTATGGCAGTTCTCACACCCGTCAGACAATGCTGTAGGGTTGATTTGCCTACTGATGGATAACCGATTAACGCGATTCGAGCGTTTCCATATTTCTGTACATCAAATCCTTCTCCTTTTTCTTTGCTTGTCGACGCACCACTCATCAGCTCAGTTCTAAGTTTTGCTAACTGAGCCTTTAGTCGACCTAAGTGATATTCAGTCGCTTTGTTTTTCTGAGTACGCGAAATTTCAAACTCAATTTCTTTAATTCTCTAAAATTATATATAAGCAAATTAGTTGTACTCACTTCTAAAATACCCATGATTACTCAACACACATTTTGTAATTCTTTAATAAGCAGTATCAGTCCAAAAGGTCTTTTTTTGCGGTTTTCTAACCAGTAAAATTATTTTTAAAATATTTAATAATTATTTGTGGTTTTCGTCGTTTTATCTTTTACAGAACAGTGAAATTACGGGTCAAATAAAAACTTACTCTCCATCCAAAGAAGTGATTTCTAAAAAATATCGTATGTAAAGACTTACGGGGCAGATAGTCATGAATGATTTTGGCGTAATTTTCTCGCAGTTTTTTCTGCAGAGGCGTAAATTCCAAATAGAGCTAATAAATTTTGATCAATTTCGGTACTTACCACTCTTAAATTTTCCAATTCTTTGAGCCCGGTTAATGCTTCTAGATCTTCAATAGTGGTGTTGTTCGCCCAAATTTCAATTAATTTCTTGCATTTTTTCAAGTTTTCTAAACTGGTGATTTTATTATAAGATATGTCTAGTATTTCTAAAGACGTCAGTTCGTCTATATATTCTGGAACTTCTTTTAGCTTGTTTTTAGAAAGTAACAAATTTTTCACGTTTTTGAATTTCAAGAGGTCTTCGTGATTCCATTCTCTAATTTTGTTCGATTCCAGCGATATGGATGTTGCATATTTAAATGTTCTCGGCAGAGTCATTGTTCGCAAAACATTGCAGCCAAGCCACAGCTCTTCGAGATGTTCTAATTCAGCTAGGTCAGACACGTCATCTATTTCGTTGCACCCACCGTCAAAAATCGTGAGATTTGAGAAATTTATCAAACCTTGAAGAGACTTGAGTTTATTATTGCTTATGTGAAAAATTTTAAGGTTTTCAAGTTTGGGCAGTCCGACGAGTGTAGAAATTTTGTTGAAGGAGAGATCAAGCTTGACTAGATTCGTCATATGGGAGATATTTTTTATTTCAGCAATTTTGTTCTGATATAAATCTAGTTCATACAAATTGTTGTTTTCCAAGCCGTTCATGGAATCTAACAAACAGGCATGTATGTGCAACTGTCTGCAGTCGGCAGGAATGTTGCTTATTTTAGTAACTCTCTCCAAAGAAATGTATATCGCTTTGTTGTTTAAATATTCGATTGGAATATCTACGCCTATTGTTTTGATGCTGACACTGGATGCCTCATTGTTGGTCTCTACAGGATCTAGCTGTTCAACTACACCGGCCATCATGAGGCAAAGCAGAGAAACCAAATGTGTTTCTTAAAATGTATTAACCAAAAGTTAAATAATAATAAATATTTTTTTTTGAGCTATAATATTTTCATGTCAAATGTGCATTTGGTATAAATTTTTTTCTTTCAGGTTTTAGTCATAAAAGTCACTTATCTAAAGTTATTTTAGCTCAATATTACGATGGTACATAATAAAAACAGCACGTTGGTGATTTACACAGATGGGAGCTGTAAAAACAACGGTCAGTTGAATTCAAAGTCTGGGTACGGTATACATTTTGAAATTCCTGACATACCTGACTTTTACGGAAAGTTGGACGGAGGAACTAATAACAGTGCTGAACTGACTGCAATTTTACGCGCACTAGACTATATCAAGAGCAAGTACGGTGAAGATGTGCATGCTAAGATTTATACTGACAGCGAGTATAGTATCAATGGAATCGACTTCTATCGCAAAAAACGAATGGGGCTCCATTGCACTGGAAATTATCAAGCCAATCAAGATTTACTAAATCAAATAGTTGAACTGCTTATTCTGTTGCCAAACGTTTTGTTGTTACATGTAAAAGGTCACAAAGGAATTGAAGGTAATGTGATAGCTGATAAATTGAGTAGAGAATACTTAAAAGAAGAAGAAGAGTGAGCGAACGTGGCAGTTGCGTGCTAAAATTAAGCAAAAAATCAAACTAATTAAAAAAAATTGTTTTTTAGAAGAAAAAAAAAGTCATTTTCGAGTAATTATTACGAATTTTTAATATCTAAAATGTCAGATATTGAAAAAACGTATTTAGATTCTCCTCAAGAGTTTCCTGACGATGATTATGATTACTCTCAACATTTTGTCGACGAGAGTCGATTGCCCCAGCAATACAAACTAATTACTGTGCAAGCAAACAATTTAGACGCGAAATTGAAAGACAAGTTATTTACAAGTGAGCTTGAAGTGCCTTGTAGTGAGTTGTCTGAAGAAGAACGTTATGTAACAAACCTGCTAATGAACGATGAGTATGATGAACTCGACTGTTCTGGTAGTGAAGTCAGCGACATTATCATGTCAACGGTGAACTACGAAAAAGAACTTGGTACCGACTTGGCTGATTTAATTTGGAAAAAATCGAGGCTTAGGTTCGATGAGCCCAAAAAAAGTAGTAATTCGTTCGACAAATTTGAAGAAGTTGACCTAGAAATTGAAAGTGATTTTAAGGTCAGCGACACAAACTGTAAGACAGTTAATAAAAAACTCGATGGCGCACCGTCTCGCTCCAACACAGAAACTGGGTGTTCTGTATTTAGACAAACTAGTATTTCAGGGCTGACAGTAGAAAATCTGCGTAAGCTCAACGAGATTAACGCAGATAAAGATTGCCCTTGCAGTAATAACGAGAAGAGCTTTTTAAACAATTTTAACGACAGCTCTTCTTACCGGTGTTTGTCACGCAACGGCGACAAAAACTCGTTTGCGTCATTTGAATTGAAAAACAATGATCATGACATGGCGGACTTAAAGCAGTTTATCAACGAGTTGCCTACTGACAAGCAAAAAGCCGTTCGTATCGTAACTGACAAAAAAATAACTGATGAAAGTTTCAATCGTACGATTGAATTTATCAGTAAGTACGAAAACAAGGCTAGGAATGACGCTTCGTCGTTCAGTAAACAAGCTACGCCTGAAGTGGTTTTGACTAAAATACAAAAAGATCAGCAGTACAAACAAGCCTGCCGAGGGATCCGAACATTAGTTCAACCTCGGAAAGGCAAATCTAACATTTCAAGAGAAAAATCTGAGTATGTTATTTTAGATGAAAGCGCGCTCTGAGTCTTAGACAGTTAGGTTGCGCGAAATTTTTCTCAACCAAAAAGCCGGCGAAATAGAAAATAATTCTAAAAAGTATAAAATATTTAAATATATTAAAGCACATAACACCGCTTTGTCAAGTAATCGTAATTGAATAAATGCATGATGTAAGTGAACGAGTTGCTGTGCAGTATTTTATTAGTATTCGTTGAAAACAATCTGGAATCAGCGATATGAAAACGACCCGTATGTATTTGAGTGGTACGGGATATGGGCGTCTTTGAAGCCCTGTGTGAAAGAGTATTTGACGAACAAAAACGTTCAAATTCTACACGTAGGCTGTGGAATGAGTTATTTAGAAATTGAACTCGCCAACGAGGGCTACAGTAGAATCACCAACATCGATTTCAGCGACGTTGTCATCAACATAAAATCAAAACTCAACCCCAATGGCGACTACAAAGTGGCTGACGTGCGCGACATGTCTGATTTTGAAAACGACATTTACGACGTCGTTTTAGACAAGGGGACTTTTGATTGCGTTATTTCTAGCGACAACGCGCTATCCGACATTAAAAACATGTTGAATAATATATACCGCGTGTTGAGAAACCGCGGTGTGTATATTTGTTTCAGCTACAGTAACCCGTCGACGCGCTTGCAGCTGTTCCAGCGTGAAGATTTGCAATGGACAGTGATCTGCAAGCAGATCGCGAGAAAAATCAAAATAGACAATATTCAGCAAAAAAAACTGTTTTACTGCTACATCTGCGAAAAACAAGCTAGCTATTAATCGATCACGGCCGGCGCATTTTGAGCTACGAGTTTCAGTCACGTAAAAGAAATAATAAAAATTCTGTTGTCATTATAAATCTTTGAAATTTATTCAAATTCACAAAAAAATGTTTATTTAAGATTTCTTTTTTTGGTATAGTTACATCGTATATTACAAAATATAAAAACTGCATCAACCAAAAAAGTTCAACCAGCGTGCGAAAATTATAAAGTTTACCCTTATTTAATTTTCTGGATTTATGAGTAGTTGAATTTGAGTTTGATAAAATTGCTCGAGTCCACGAATAATGTTCATATCGTTACGGCTGGCAAAGTTAATGGCAACTCCCTTCTTACCGAATCTTCCGGAACGTCCGATTCTGTGAAGATAATTTTCATAATTGGAGGGTAGGTCGTAATTGATAACAAGTGAAACAGTTTGAACGTCAATACCTCTGGCGAGTAAGTCAGTGGTGATGAGAACACGAGTTGAACCGAGTCTGAATTGCTCCATGATACCTTCTCTTTCCTTTTGGGGCATGTCACCATGAATGAAGGAGACGGTGTGGTTGTCTTCGGTCATTTTCATAGCTAAGTCCTCTACTCTCTTTCTAGAGTTGGCATAGATGATACAGGCCTGAATTTCAATGGTTTCGTAGAGTTCGGTCAAGACCGAGTATTTATGTTCGTCGTTTTCAGTGTTAACGTAGAACTGTTTGATACCTTCTAAAGTCAATTGACTGCTTCTAACTAAAATACGCTTGGGATTTTCAAGTACAGTTTCTGCCAAAGCAAGAATTTCTTTAGGCATGGTGGCGCTGAACATGGCTAAAACAATGTTGCCGGATTTGTTTTGGTCGATATAAGATAATATGTCGGTTACTTGGTCGATAAAACCTCTTGAAAGCATTTCATCAGCTTCGTCAATAACGACGACCGATAAGTCCTGGTATGGGAACCTCTTAAGTCTCATTAATTCGCTGATACGTCCTGGAGTAGCAACCACGATATGCACACCTTTTCTTAACGCTTCAATGTCGTAAGAAGTGTTTGTACCACCAATACAGGTGATGCAGCTGATGTTTAAGAAGGTACCAATACCGTCAGTCACACGTTGAATTTGAGCAGCTAATTCTCTTGTAGGCGCTAGAATTAATCCTTGAAGTTTATCCAAAGTCTCGTCAATAACTTGGAGCATGGCAATAACGAAAGTTGCGGTTTTACCGGTACCAGATTGAGCCTGTCCTATGACGTCGTGACCTTCAATAACAGGCTGAATACCACATTGCTGAATTGCCGAAGGCTTTTCAAAACCGTAGTTGTAAATACCTTTTAATAAATCTTTTTTTAAAGACAATTCGTCAAAAGATTTAATGTAAACAATGTCATCGTTTTCTTCGTTGTCATTGTTTGTCTCTACATAACTTTCGTTGTATTGAGTATGTTGTACTTCACTCTTATTGTTTTGCTCGTGTTCTTGACTCATTGAATATTGATAATTAAATAATTATTAATAAATTAAAATTTTTTATAGATTTAGAGCAAAAAAAACTAAGAAACGGAACCAAAATTATTTATTGGACCTGAAATTATATAATTATTTTTTATTATTTTTTTATTTTTCGCATTCTTTGGATCATATTTCTCCGTGAAAATACTCATCTGTCTGGCTGCTTCTTTAATTGCGTTTTTTTTTTTATTAATACTTTCTGTGAAAACGTGACGCTGTGCAGTCTTTGGCTTGCTGCTAGGCAGTTCTGTGGTATTATTGAAGCTTATGTTCAATTCCTTTTCATTTTTATATTCTGGCCGGTAAATTACCACGTACTAGTAAGTCGTTAGTTAAATTATGCACTTACCTTGTTTATGATCTCGAACAAATGAGAATCTTTAAGGTTATTTTTGATTATCAAGTTTTCCTACGTAAATTGTAACTAATGCGACACTTACGTCACTTTCCGGTTCTAAAATTTTAATATTTTAATATAGTATTATTTTAACTTACTATTAGGAATAAATTTATTAATAACACGACGAGCTCGCTGCATTCGATTTTTGTCATCGGTATTAGTTCCAGTCACTAACATGGAATTTGTTGCAATCTAGCTTACTTAATACTTCTGATCTTTTTCCGATTTCCTTATTTGAAGGACCGCATTTCACAATTAACAAGGCTATAGCTGCTACCCAAAACATTAATAAAATTTTTTGATTAATTATCTAAAAATCAGACTGAAATAATTAATCAACTAGTAATAATTTTCTTTTATGAATCACAGTTCCGTACCAGATTCTACGCTTGTTTCAGAAGACAAACTGTATAACCTGGATCAGATTTTGATTAATGGCTGGTTACTGAAACGAAGTCGATACATGCTAGAATGGCGTAAGCGCTGGGTAGTTTTGACTTCCAGTCACTTGCTAGTGTTCAAAACTAATGAGAAAGATTCTTCCAAAAGTGAAATTTTACACATAGATTCATTTGTCAAAATTTCTTGCACACCAGAATATATGCATAAATTTGGGTTTGAATTATACACAGACGACAGAAAAATCATGTTTATAGCGAATGACGAAAAAGAAAAAAACGACTGGATTTTTCATTTCAGTAAAGCTATAATAAAGAACAACACCATAGAAAAAAAGACTGAAAACAATATAGTTTACTGACTAAAAGAACGTTGTTTGCCAACATGTATAATGACAGACCAGAGAGCGAATAATTGATTTTATTTTATTTGAAATAATAATAGAATCAAAATAAATAATAAAGTTAAGATGAATGATGGCAAGTCTCAGCTCGATGATTTTAGACAAAAAATATATGAGTTAGAAAACAAAGTTGTCAGTTACTTGAACAGTACTCAAATTTTAGACTCAGACGTGCTTGATCAATTGATTGCTCAGTCAACCCAGTTGCAGAAAAGTTTGATATCCATAGTCTTGAAGATTCCGTACAATTCAAACACAATCGATAAGGTAAAACTACTTAGAAAAAACTTAGAAAACCAAATAATGGAAATTAAACATGCGCAAATCAATCGTTGTGGCAACACCACTTACAGAACAAAATTTAACCCGCATAATTCGGAGCTGGAAGAAATCAAAAAACTAGATGCCCTGCACGTGTGCATCAACATGACAGACGAGTCAGCAACTCAAGCTATGCAAATTTTGAATTCGTTCAAAAGACAAAATGAACTTTCGAGAAAAATCTACAACACAGTGAATTACTTCAAGTTGTCGACCAAACGAGCTGATCAGCTGATGCACACTATAGAGCGTTTAAATACTAAAAGAACGTCGATACTGGCAGCTTTAGTGGTGATAGGTTTTTTTTTAGTCATTAGAACTTACTTTTTAAGATAGAATACAGAATCTCACTATCACTTAAAACGGAAATTGACCAGCGGCTTTCGTTAAAGTTCAAATTTGTCACTTTGTTTTTTTTGTTGAATTTTTTTCAGTCTGTAAAACTCTTCTCGCTCGAGTTCGTCTAGTTCTTTTGTTATATAGTTTATGTTAATTTGCAGATTTGGAATCATTACTGTGTCTAACGCATTTACTCTTCTATTAGTTTGTTTCAATTCCCGACTAATCGATTCAAGAGACCGCATGAGTGAACTGTGCTTCACTAGTAAAGTCAAGACTCTAGTAAACTGTTCTTTGAGCTTGATCAACGTGTTCTTCCCTCTTATTAACCCTCTGTTATCTAAAAGTTCGTTTTTTTCAATCAAAAGCTCATAGTTATTTATCTTAACTCCAGCAACGTTTTCCACGTTACGAACCAGCGTTGTAGAAGCATTTTTAACAGACTGTATGATGGCTTGAGACCAATTGTTTGAAAACTCAGTCGAGTAGTTTACTTTTGCCAACTTATAATACGCTTTGTTTATTTCTGTTTCCAACGAGTTTTTTAGATCTGCAGCTTCGGCTTTTAGTGTTCTGTTTTTCATTGTCAAAGCATCAGCTTTTGTTTTTAACAACGAATGCCCCTGGGTTGCCGATTTGAGTTTAGTTCGATATGTTTGCAACATCCTGTGGATATGTAAAATAAACCTACTTACATTCTACTAGGAATGACTGTTTGAGTGCTCATTTATGGTGATCTACGCTGTATTCAGCTATTTTAAACACTTTTATCAATTTTGATTACATTCAAATTTACCAGAAAAGTTATTTTTAATTTTCATTTATTAATTATTTTTTGTGTCCTTGGCAGCATGTTTCGTTAAGTGCACAACACTTTTTTTTATTTTAAAAGAAAAAAACAAACTTTTGTGACTAATAAAAAGTGCATTTTCTTAGTATTATTTTCCTTTTATAGTGTATAAGATTATAGTCGAGTTCAAACAGTATGGATATACGCCATGGACAAGAGTGCAATTTGTTTGTTCGAATCATTAAATTCGTTGTTTAAAAATCGAGAAGTAAGTATTTTCTTGTTTAAAATATTAAAAGGGGGAAAAAAATGAATTAAAGTTAATTACTATACTTAATGATTTAAGTGACTTAAATCAAGACTTAGTTAGAATACAAATCGAAAAAAACTCAAGTTATAAACAGCTTCTCAAAAACTTAGCTAAACATCACGATGTAAAGGTTTCCGTGCTGGCACAGAAAATATTATCAAGTTGTTATATGGATGAAAACGAGAGGAAAAAAGAAAATATAGAAAGAAAAGCTGAAGATCAAGAAAAAGAAACTTGTTCAAAAGAAAATAAAAATGAAAAGACAGTTAGCATAGAAAAAAACGACGATAACACAGATTCTCAGATTGATCGTAAATCATCGGACGAGAATCTCTTGAGCGATGAGCGTGAGGAGATACAGACTGAAGCTGTGAAGTGTACACACAAAGGATGTGCCGACATTAAAAAATCTATTTTTTCGGGCGAGCTATGCGAAGACGTGAAACGCAATAATTTACGTAAATTTATTTATAAAAAGTTTGTCAGTGGATGCAGCGGCGAATTTGTCAACTTAATTTGCAAAAAGCAGCTCGAAAGCATAGTAACGGAAATCGAAACCATGTGTTGGCAGAAATATATTGTAGAAGGCAGCAGCCTGGATAATTACAACGGACAGATCCGCTCGATTACTTTCAATTTAGGGGATAAAAGCAACCCAATTTTCAACGAACGTGTTTACCAAAACTTAATTTTGCCGTCAGCCTTGGTCGAGATGACTTCTTTAGACATGGCAAGTGATGAAAAAAAAGCTGAGCGAAAGCATCAAGCTAACCAAGCAATGCAAGCTTCGCAGTCTGATTGGGAGCTACGCAACAGGAAACAATTGAAAGGGCAATTCATGTGCGGGAAATGTAAAAGCCACAACACTACATATTATCAATTACAAACAAGAAGCAGTGACGAGCCTATGACGTCGTACGTTACGTGTTTAGATTGTGGAAAAAGATGGAAGTTTTAAAGAGTTATGTGAATTTAGAGTCTAACATGCGGAGTGTCGACTTAAATACGCGTAACTGGATGAATAGCTACTAGAATTGTTCCAATGAAGATGCCGAGATTAAAAAATACTAAAATTTATCTAATAATAAAAAATAAAATAAAAACAAAATATTCTGGATATTAACTAGTTTGTCTCCTAATTTTTTCGTTTCCTAATTTATATAGCCAAAAAAGATGTCGAGTAGTGGATTTAATTTACAAAATGTAGCTTCAACCTCGCTGTTTGTAGGTGACCTTTCACCCTCTGTTAACGAAACAACTTTATACACGATTTTTAACACTGTTGGACCTGTTGCTTCTATTAAAATATGCAGAGATGTGCAAACTAGAAACAGTTTGGGATACGGATACGTTAATTATCATTCTTTATCTGATGCGGAAAAAGCAATTAAGGAACTAAATTATTCTTTAATTGAAGGCACTCCATGCAGAATTATGTGGTCCCAACGCGACCCGTCAATCCGTATGAAGAATGATTCCAACTTATATATCCGTAACATCGAAAAATCGATTGAAACCAAAGATTTACACAACGCATTTTACAAATTTGGAACGATTTTGTCGTGTAAAATAGCTACTGACGTAAACGGAAAAAGTCTAGGTTATGGGTTTGTTCATTACGCAAATGCCGAGGCAGCTACCAAAGCGATCAAGGAAATGAACGGTTACAAGCTTGGGAACAAGTGCATTGAGGTCATGCTGTTTTTGAATCGCGAAAAGAAGGGTGATGGCAAGGCAAAAAACTTTACCAACATTTACGTCAAAGATTTTAACCCCAGCTGGACTGAAAAAGAATTACGTTCAGTCTTTGAAAAAATGGGAACTATCACTAGCTTGTACTACTCAGTTGACCACCTCTCTCGACCTTTTGCCTGCATAAATTTCGAATCTCACGAAGCCGCGAAGAAATCCATTGATGAGCTCCATGGAAAATTCTGTGACGAATTGATTAGCAAGGAAGTCGAGGACAACAAAACAGAGTCCGAAACTTTTGCAAAAGATGTTCTACAAATTGAATCGGCTTCTACTAATGAAATCTCGAATGGCAATGTTTCTTCCACGGAAGCAAAAGTTTCTGATTCTAAAGAAACAAGCTCTAACTCTGCTTCTGAAAAAAAAGAAAGCATTTATTCCGAAAAACTTGCCGAAAACAACCTTGCATCATCATCATCCATCGATGACGCTACAGACGAAGATCAAACTATCACCAGAAACAAGCAAGTCGACATGGAACGTTCCAACGAACCTGTTAACACATCAGCACTCGAGTCAACCAAAGAAGCTTCTGAAACCAAGAAACCTAGATACAAATTATTCATTTGCAGAGCTTTGAGCAAAATAGAGCGTTTCAAATTTACCCGCGCTTCCGCTTCTCCAACAACTAATCCCAAGAAGGAAGGCATCAATCTGTATGTAAAAAACATTCCTCTCGACATGGATAACGAAGGTTTGAAAAAACTTTTCGAACCATTTGGCACTATAACTTCATCTATCGTTATGAGAAGCCAGAACGGTGAGTCTAAAGGTTTCGGATTTGTTTGTTTCGCAAATAGTGCAGAAGCTACAGAAGCCATCGGGACAATGCACTTCACCAAAATAGGTTCCAAGCCACTTTACGTTGGGCTTGCTGAAAACAAAAGTTCCCGAATCGCTAGACTCAGCGAAGAGTACATCATCAAGAAAAACAACAATCTATCGATGCACGAGTCGCACTATAACCATCAAAAGAATAGACACTCGCCCATGTATTCAGACAACTGGAACGCCGACTCCCATTCTGTCACTGGTAAAAACAGCTATGAATCGACAAAAAACGTGTTACAAAAAGTAAGATCTGACAAAGACAACAAAAAGTGGTTTGGGGAACAATTGTTTCCTTTGGTTTTCAATTATCAACCAGACTTGGCTGCCAAACTCACTGGTATGCTGCTAGAGTTAAATGATATAGAACTTAAAAAATTAATAATCCACGACATCGCTTTACGTGAAAAGATTAATGAAGCTCTCGCCGTCTTAAATGATGCCAAAAACAGAGCATGAATAGAAGCGTCCCAGACCATATAGTTTTACTTCTGTCCACCGGCCTTAAAATTACCAATTATTCTAGCTATCTTAAATTAGTAACGACTAAATCAACTGCGATGCTTTCGTTAAGCAACCTGCATACACAGTCTTTTATCTTGGATATCTGTTCCGTTTTAATTTCCGGTTTAAATACATCTTCATCTCTTCTATATTGTTTGCTAGTTTTCCTACTTTATAATAAATCATTTTTCTTATCTCTTCGCTATTTTAGATTGACGAACTATTGAACTATCGCTAGATTGGATGTACCTGTTAAATCAAGAAAATATCTCCATGCATCATTCGTACGTAAAGCAATCATTTTTTGTTTGCAAATATCACTAATAAAAAAATATTACAATTATCAATTTTTTGTTATAAATTGAAATATGAAACGCGGGGGTTTCACTCCAGAGCTGTGTGATAAATGGTACAGCAAGCTAAACCGTATGTTAACAGAGAAGGGATCTTTTTTTAGACATTGACGACGCGGAAAGACTGATAGGAAGACTTCCGACTGAAAAAGAGCTAGTTGAAAAACTTGACCTGAAGCATTATCAAGAACATCTTCTACATCAAGAATTCTTCACTAGTGCCGCAGAAAAAATAAGTAATTTGAACGATCAAAAGCTCAAATGTGCCTATTTAATTGTAGCTTTTGGAAAAAATGAAAACAGATTTGAACATGGGATGCTGATTGAGTTTGTTTGCAAAGTAACTCACCAAATCGACCCGCAGCTCGCTTTAGCTACTTTAAAAGTATTTTGTCCTCAAGTAAAAGAAGATGTTAATTATGTCATCATGCTGTACTCGAGTATTTGTTTGCACTTGCTTAATTTGCCCGTACCAGATCGTGCGACCGCTGAAGAAATATTTTTTGACCTAGAAGTTGTTCGCCAGTCTCAGTACAATTTAAATGACTACGCATTGTACTTGTTTCACTACAGCATGTACAAGCTAGCCCGATTCATACCGGATCATCAGAAAACATTTTCGCACATTTTGTCCGCTTCGCGTAATTTAGAATTTGTGCCTGATAGCCAGAAAATCGAGCTAATAACTGACTTATGCAAGTCATGTTTGCTGTGCTCAAATAACTTCAACGGTACAGAAGTACTAAATTCGCAGCTTGTCAAATTTGTTCTTGATGCTAATATGAAATTGCCAACTAAGTGCTGGCTCATGCTGGAGTTGTTGACTGTTGTAGACAGTGCTGACATTGAAATATACAACAACTACATTAAAAAAAATGAGGCTGCGTTAAACGAGATCGGGTTTTCGGGTTTTTTGCCAATATGCACGCAGAAAATTCAAATCAATTGTTTGTTCCGCGTCTCGCAAGCTCACCTAATGAGTCAGACACCCTTGTCCATTTCAGACGTCGCAGCGAAACTCTTTATCTCCAACGACGATGCTGAAAAACTTATTCTACACGTTTTCTCAAGTGGTCTGATCAACGGTTTGATTGATTCTACTACAAATAATGTTAAAATAAACTCCGTCATGCCATTGTCATTCAATACTGCTCAAGTTCAAATGCTAATAAATAAAATAGACACGTTGTGTTCACGTGTAACAGACACATTGACCGCTTTCAATGAAACTAAGGCAAAACTCGAATCCAAATTATAGTAGATCTGCAAATAGTTCACACAAGTTACTAAAAATTAAACTGTTATAATTTTTTCGATATAAACAAATACAATTGCAAAATTAATTCGAATGTCTCAGTAATGAAAAACGTAATTTAAATAATGACGGAAAACCTTGTTTGAGAAGACTTTCCAAATTTTTCAGTGCTTCTTTTACATAAAATGTATAAATAATATATACGTGTGATTTATTTTTTAACCAGCTGAACAATATCTTCATCATTCAAAACATGATCTTTTCCGACTTTTTGCGGGTTAAACTTAACCGAAGTTCCCCAGACTAAAGCGTATTTAAGCTGATCTAAAATTTGTTTGTGAATACGAACACAGAAGTCAGCTATCGTTGCTTTGTTTCTCTTTAATACAACGGGATCTGAGTAATCAGGAGCTTGGCCATGCGGTTTGGTATATATTCTAATTAAATTGAGGTACTCCCAAATCATTTTTACTAACGTGTCAAGATTCCAATTGTCTTTTGCACTAATTAAACAAGTGTGTTGGCATTGCGATAATAAATCAAGTTCTTCCATTGTTATTTGATCAATTTTGTTCAAGACGTATATACAAGGAACGTAAATACGGTTGCCTTCTAAAGCATCGATGAACTCGTCAGCAGTAGCATCTGTTTTGAAATTTATGCTACAATTGATAACACGGTATTCGTGACAAATCGAGACAATTGTTTCGTGGTCGAGATGAGTCAAAGGAACGGAATTAGTGACAATTATTCCACCTTTGTCTTTTTGACTAATAGAGATGTTTGCGGGTTGTTTGTTTAAACGAAGTCCGAAACCTTCAAGTTCTTTTTCAATTAAACGTTTGTGGGTTAAAGGATTCGTTGCGTCGAGCACGATTAATACAAGGTTGCAAGTACGCACGACAGCGATTACTTGCTTACCTCGTCCTTTACCGTCTTTAGCTCCTTCAATAATACCTGGCAAATCAAGCATTTGAATTTTTGCTCCTTGATAACGGAGGATTCCAGGAACACAAGTCAAGGTAGTAAACTCGTAATCTGCAGCAGCGCTAAATTGACCGGTTAACTTCGTTAATAATGTACTTTTGCCTACACTAGGAAAACCCACAAATCCTACTCTAGCATCACCTACTTTAGTTACATCAAAACCTTCTCCACTGCCTCCGCTCGACTTAGAAACCCCATCAAGCAGTTGCTGTCGCAACCGCGCTAACTTAGCTTTTAAAAGCCCGATGTGAAAATTAGTAGCTTTGTTTTTCTGTGTTCTAGCAATTTCATTTTCTATTTCAGTTATCTTTTGAGTAGTACTCATTGTCAAAAATACAAGCTCATTTATCAAAATAAGAATGTAAATTTTTTGATATGGACCTTAATGCCAATGGAAAAAATACAATATTAAGGATCAGCGAGAGTAAGTTAATAATTATTATAATGCGTCGAGAATAGATTTTTAGCGGCTTTTGTTTTCGCGCTTGAAATTCTAGAATTTGAAAAGCAAAAAACGTACAACTAAAAAATTCTTCGCTTATAACTGTACATTTGATTTTAGGCCAATATATTGAATTTTTATCCCTAATCGGTATAGGAACGTGGGGTATAGTATATCACGTTCGTAGAATTACTTATCTAAACAACCAGAGTTTTGTTGAAGATCTCGCAGCCAAGGTCTACGATATCAATAAATTGAAATTCAATTCCGAATGGGTTATTGTTAAAGAGAAAATCAAGAGGGAAGTTAAAATATTGAGTTCAATATCTCATTCAGGTATCGTCAATCTACACGGTATTGTTGATTTAGATAACTATCTTCTGTTGTTGCTTGATTTGATTCCTAATGGTGAATTGTTTTTTAAAATTCAGAATGAACCCTTAAAAGAAGATCAAGCACGATTTATTATTATTCAAATTGCAAATACTCTTAATTTTTTACATCAAAACAACATTATCCACCGTGACTTGAAATTAGAAAATGTACTTGTCGAACAAGAATGCGAGGACAACTATTTTTATGTAAAATTATCGGACTTTGGTTTAAGTAAGGAGATGAACAAAAAAAAACTAGCTAAAAGCTGTGTAGGAACTCCGCAATACTGGAGTCCGGAAGTAATTATGGCAGGAAGACAGAACTTGGGTTATGGTAAGTCTACTGATCTATGGTCTCTGGGCTGTTTGTTATATGCTCTTTTATGCAGTAAATACCCGTTTGACTGCACGTACAATTTCGAGCAAGACATTTTAAGCGGTACTTTTCATATTGAGAAGGAAATCGAAACTCAGCTCAGCAAAGAATGTATTCAAATTCTTAAAGGATTGTTAACTCCTGACATTGATAAAAGACTGAGTCTGTCTGAACTGTTAAAGACCGAATGGGCCAGAAAGAAATTTCCTTTTCCAATTCCTGAATACAAACCAATAGAAAAACATCCTATAACGATAACGGCTGGCCCATTTTTTATGAACGTGTCAGCTAAAATAGAGCTGACTGATTCTCTTCCAGAGTTATCTTCACCGATGACCAGGACTTCCAAAAGTTCAATTACTAGTGACATTTCAGATAAACCAGAAAAGAATGCATCTACCGAATCAGTCACTATAACAGAAAGTTTCAATTCTAGTAAAGTGTATCAACAAGCTCCTGCCACTACTTCTGCGACTATTAATAAAAGTTATCATGTTTTAGACACTTCAATGTTGCTTCAGTCTTTGGAAACTTTGTTCTACGTGTTTAATCAAGCATATTTTATTTTACAGTACGACGACTTTTTGGCTTCCAGGTTAGAAAGACTATTAATTACGATTAAAGATTTAGGCTTAGCCACTCACAAAGTATTTCAAGTCATATGTTACACATGTGATTCTATCATTGAAATACTTGACGATGTAGCTCTTTTTTTGGATGAAAACGACATTGAAGCTTCGCTCGATTTGTTTGATCAGCTACAACTGCTAACCAATGATGTGGTTGAAGCTGTCGATCAAATGCATCATCAGTACAAGATTCTTTTAAACTCCACATCAATACTTTTGACTGAGTTCCAGCGTACTAATGAGTTTTCTGACATTTTGCATATCAGCGATAAAATGCTTGCAAAAAAAGTTGTTAACCACGTTGCATCCAAGCCGGGTCGTTCAAACGAAATCGCAAGTTTAGTTGAAGTAGACAAGCCTAAAAGTTTTTATGAGGTTTTCGAGATTTTTTTTGATCAAACAGGCAGATTGCTCAGCGTTCAGCCTGATTTGCACATTAAGTCCGGGCTCATCTCAGGAACGACTCCCGTTTCTTCTAAGCTGACGGATCCATCTCCCGCGGAACCAAAGTTTGAGAGCAGCGCCAGCTTTACAACAGAAGATCCTTTATTTTTAAACCAGCAAAACGTCGAACCGAGTTCTGATTCTGTTGTGGGCAGCAATACTTCAAGCATAAATCCAGACTTGTTTGACAACAAAGTCATGTCAACCAATATCATTGAAAGTTTAAACAGCAGCAAAGAGTCTGCGGATGACTCTGTGTTTTTGCAGTCTCGGCTTATATCTCGGCGCGAATTGATGCTTCATGGCATACTCAGTTTGCAAAAGTTTACTGAATCTTTGGAAAAATGTATTTTGTTCTGGGACCAGGTAAACTTACTGCTGTCAAATATTAACAACATTAAAAAGCATAACTCACTGCTGCTTAAGCATTACTCGCCCAGTCCGCGAATCTGCAGACGGATATACGATTCTTTAATTTCAAATAAAAAATTGTGGCAAGAACTACAGCACCAAACTTCGATTTGTTTAGATGGTACACAAAAATCTATTCATATAATGATGAAGATAGTCACAAAATTAAAGTGCGAACAAATTCGTGTCGCCGACTTAAAGACGCTCACCGATCATTATAAGCTTTAAATATGCAGTTATTTTTAGAATTTATGAAATTTAGTCACATGTATTCTACAAGGAACAACAGTTCCTTTATCAAAGCACGTTTATTTGAACGTTTAAAGTGCGTCCTCATCGTCGTCTTCAATTTGAGCGTTTGCAGCTGCGGCCAATTCAGCTTCATTTTTGGCGATCAAGCTGGGGTTCATGACAAATTCAGGTTTGTGAGCGTACTCACCGACGAATTCAAGCGCGACCTGCCCTGTTAGTCTACGGGCTAACCACAAGAAAGGACGCTCAAAATTATAATTAGTTTTTGCCGATACTTCGTAGTACTGACAGCTGTGTCTGCGATGGAAGTTCACGCTTTTAGCCTTGACGACCCGTTCGAACACATCAACTTTATTTCCAAGCAAAACAATCGGAATTTTATTACAAACACGGACCACGTCACGGTACCAGCTGGGTAAGTTTTTGTACGATGTACGGTTTGTTACATCAAACATGAGGATCGCTCCTTGCGCAGCTACATAATAGGCGTCTCGAAGACCTGCAAGCTTTTCTTGTCCGGCAGTATCCCAGACTTCAAAAACGATTGGACCATAGTTCGTAAAAAACTTCATGGGGTATACTTCAGCTCCCACGGTCGCTGCGTATTTTTTTTCAAACTCTCCTGTCAAGTGACGTTTAACAAATGTTGTTTTACCAACAGCTCCGTCTCCAACAACGATTATTTTAAATACTGGACATTGGTGATTGTTTGTGTTCTGCTCTTGGTTGGGTGGAAGTTGGTTTACCGGACTCTGATTCATTTTTAGCCAAAAAAGTTAACAATTTCAATAACGCAAAATTAAATCTTAATTTGTTAGAAATGTTTTATAAATTGAAATTTTTGTTTTATAATTAATTTCCATTAAATAAATATATAATATTGGAAAACTAAATAAATATTTTATAAGATTTTTTCGGCGGGTTTAATTTTAGTGCAAATTTTAATGGCATTGTCAGAACCGGTCGTTAAAAACGTGTTATAATTTAAGTAAGCGAAATCGTAGGTGTAGCTGCGGTTCTCTGGGTTGTCTAAGATAGCGTTCACAGTCAACAAATCAGTTTTATCGACAGATTGTGTGATTGTAAACTCGACAAGTTTAGGAGTGTTAGTGGCGACTGACACAATCGATGCGTCTGAACTCACAAACAGTTCTGCAGAGTAAACCTCCAGAAGCACTTGATCAGGGACGTTAAGAATGCGTTTCAAGTTAGTGTTCAATTTGATGATCACGAAGTCGGACTTCAACGGGTGAATGTCGAAGAGCAAGTGATTTTTCGTCATACGCTGGTACAAGTAATGTATAGCTCCGTCACCTGTAAAAACTAAACAGCCCAACGAGTTGATCCACAATACTGCCCACACTGTCTGTCCTTCGAACGTGTGCTTATACACAAATTGCCAACTGGCAGACGTTTTTTTGTGCAAGTGGACCGACCCGTCGAACGAGCAGCTTGCCAGCACGCGGAGAACCTTGTTGAACGATACGCATTTGACATCTTGCGTGTGGGTACTCAGAATCACGTCACAAACAACTGTTTTGTTTTTGCAAGTCGACGCTTTCTGCGATTTTAGTTTCGACTGGGGGCCAGCAACTACTTTGTAATCTGTTTGATTTGCTTTGAAAGAGTACGAAACGTCTGCTAAGTCAAATTGTTTGGAGCTTTGAGTCATAAGGGACGCAGATTCGCCTTCCACGGAATTAGGCATTTTGAAAATCCAAACGTTCGCATTTCTACAAGACACCGCCAAGTAGATATTATTATCGATCGTTAACGTCGACAAACCCTTTACTTCTGATGGAATTTTTTGCGAAACCCAGTTCAGTGAAAACTCGTCTTCCGCTTTGGAGTAAACGAACCAACACAAAGTGCCGTCAAAACTGGCGCTAAACATGTTTCGCCCGTCAAACTCGATCCTGCGAATGGATTTCTGAAACGAATGCAACACGACCAAATTTTTTTGATCTTTAATATATACCAAATGCCTGCCAAACCCAGCGACGAACGAGAACTTGGCAGTGTCAAACTCGTCGACTCGAACTGTGGCAACCGCCCAATTTGTGTTTTTCGATATTAAATACAACGCTGAAACACATTTGTAACTAATTATCTCTGACATCGAACGATAAGTAGAACATAAACCTGTATAATATATTTTGAATTAATTATTAATTAATAATTCGAGTATTATTATATGCAACCTTCGTTTATTAATCGACTATAATAATCGTCAAATTTCTTGCTGTTTTTCAAAACAATTGCACCGACTAAATCACCAAATAACGTATTTAGTTTCGAATGCACATTGTTTTCAGGAGCCTGCTCGTTTGTGTCTTGTTTGAAAAGTGAACTGTTCAACACCAAATAATATTGTGCACAGGGCTTTTGGTACTTGCTGTAAAAGATTTGGGTGCAGCTGCTCAACTGATCTTCTATTTCCTCTTTTAATAGCAATCCTGGGTTGTTTTTCATTATTGAAAAACCAGTTTCTGATAGTAGTTTTATGTTTTTGTATTTCAACAGATCAACTGTCTGCAAAACGTCATTGATTTTTTTCAAGATCAAAATTGAACTGATGTGTTTCGGCAAGTAAGTCTTGAATTTAAACAATGAATTTTCGTTCATTTCTTCAAAGTGATGTCTGGCAGCATATATAACGTCCGTTTTGTTTTTATGCACCGGTATAAGCAAACCCCACGGGTCGAAATAAGAAGAAATAAAAGCCCAAGGCCTTTTAACGCTCTTCAACTTTTGTCTCCAACAAACAGATGCGACTTGATTGAACTGGTTTAAATCGCGATTAGTAAGCCTTCCGGGAAAACTGGCTTCATACAAAGCTTGACATATTGGTTTCAAGTAAATAGGCTGGCTCGACCACTTATGAGTTGCCAAAAACTTTATTATGAGTTTTAAATTCTTGATGCAATTTTTAGGTTCTATGTCCAAACTATTTGCATTGTTCGAAACCACATAAATACAAATGATATCCCAGAAATAATCATTTTCACGACTATATATGCCTTGCTTATATGCCCAATACTTCAGAGTTTTGATTGTATTAGTCAGAAAGCTGAAATTGTTACAGTAAGCAATGATTTCACTCTGTAAGGTCGGAATATAGTACATGTGAAACAATTGGCCAACAAAGTTCGGTACTGTTAATGTGTCAGATGTGTCTTTATCTTCAAAAACAGTTTTAGGATTGATAAGCCAATTGTCAGACAAGTTTTGTTTCTCAATATCTATATAAAAATAACACCTAAACGTAACAAACAGTTCATTATAATTGTAGAATTTAGTAATTTTATCATCGGCTAAAAATTTAAAATTAATGTCAACAAAATTATCAGTAAAAGAAATATCCGTTATATTAGAATGAGTTATGTCTTTTTTAAACAATATCATTAAGGTTTTTTTTGCATTGTTTTTCCATTCATCTGGTTTATTTTTCCAATCTGTCAATTTTCCTCCTATTAGTAATGCATATTCAATTAATTCATAATTTGGAAAAGAGTTATTACTCTCGGACACCTTCCAAACACTTGGATCGAACAGCTGAGTGTTGGTGTAAAATGATGAAATTAGGTGATGCTTTTCAATTACAAGCCTTGTATTTGTTATTATCTTTTCAAAATCATCACAAAGTTGACGAAGATATTTGTTTGTATGTTGAATAGGATTACTACATTGGTCTTCACTATGTAAACAACATTTCATTTCTATCTTGGTCACGACTTTCAGTAATGACGTATTTTTTTAATTTTGTTTAGCCAGGCTAGTAATGTTTAATATTGAAATTGTAATTTTACCAATTTTAACTAACAAGATATTTAAAAAATAAAAATTTAATATATTTAGTCGGCCTGGGATTTCAAACTTGCTAACAGATGGAAAATGAAATAAAATTACAACTCTATTAATTTGTAGTAGTTTTAATTAGTTTTGATTGTTTTAATACGTTTTCTACAATCATCATCCGATACTCGTAACTAGTTCTTCTGATAATATCTTTATACGATCTATTTGACATTTAGAAAACATCTTGATAATATTTATAAACTCCTTGTTAACAGTTCTCAATTTAGAGATACATACCTAAAAATAAGTAGACGTGTTTAACTTACGAGTAAGGTTTCCAATGCTGAGATATATAAATTGATAATGGTTTTTTGAGACTCTTTTATGATTTTTTTTTGCGAAGCTAACGAAAGTTTAATCTTTGATTTTTGTAATAAACGTAGTAGAAATATACTACTGTCAATTTCAGATTCATTAAGATATAACAAGTCGTCGCTCACACTTGAATATTCTTGTACCATTGGAATCGTAGATGTAACAATGTTGGACGAAAGTAAACAACTAAATGCTGAAGCAATATTAGACTTAATAGAACGAACGTTGTATGTTTTTTTAATTTTTGGTGTTCCTTGCTTGCTTTCGATTACTTGGTTAAGCTCAATGTTAGAATCTTCAAAACTGTAACATCCTATTTTTTTCGCTTCATGAACCATTGTTTCCAACAATGGACGTATTAAATACTTAATAACCCATTTGCTACCTAAACACTCGTATAAACCATCAATGCTTTGCAAAAAACATTCTCTAACATCCTTAGAAGAATCAGCCATCAACAATGGCCAAAGCAGTGTTATTATGCTTTTAGAAAAATGCGGTAAATTAGCAGCTAACGCAACTCGAACTCTCCATTGTCGACAAATAACTGCTGAAGTCACTAATAATAAATCATCTATGTTAGTTGAAATATATTTGTAATTGTCTAAGAGCAATACATAAGTTTCGGAATCTTGAGTTTTGTATAGCTGTGCAAGGTATTCTGAAGCTTTAGTAGAAGGTAAACTTGGATAAACGATAAAAAATAATTGAACTGCTTGCTTATATTTAGTTAAATCCTTGGGTAGATTTTCAAATAAATTTAGTGTATACTGGATTAAATTGTCTACTGGCTTGTTATTTTGGGATTTTACAGATCTTTCACTGAAAAGAGATGAATAGATTTTTGATTTTTCATTTGTTCTAGTAAAAGGCGCAAAGAGTGGATTTTTTTTATTTCGTTTATCATATTCATCTAAAATATTTTTTTTATATTCTTTTCTTTTTGTAGTGCAATTGAATACGCCACAAAACTGACAATCATCGTCAAAATCAAACGGTACGTGATCAAGATCACCCAAACTCCTGAAATTCAAAGAACTACTAGAACTTCTTGTTGATGAAGAACCTGTACTCATGGTACTAATTGGCTCAATAGAAGAAAAATCGGTGTTCTTTTCGTCTTTTAATTCAAATTCAAATTCTGTTGCTGAAGTACTAACTAACTCTAATCTTCGACTTATACTTTCTCTTGTTAAATAACTTTCAGAAGATTTTGGACTATTTAAACCAGCTTCACTAGGGGATATGTTTAGCACGGGCGATTTAGTATGATCATTGAGATATTTAACACCATATTTTTTATAACCAATAATATTTAGTTCTTTTTTTGATTTCGAATTTTGGCTTAATTCAATCTTTTCGATCAATTTTGTGGATAAAACATGCAACGCTTTTTTTGCAATATGAATATCTGTGTCAAACGCTAATCTATAAACGGGATATAAATACCGTTCATTTTGCATAAGGAATTCGATATCGCTCTGTTCAACTTCGTCTAAAAATCTCAACTTTACATTTGAGTACATGTAAGTGTGAATGATAGACAAATAACTCAAGAAAAATTCGTTAATTTGATTAGTTTTGAACTTTTTCACTATTTTAAACAGTATTGATATAAGTTCACATCTGCATGCGTAATAATCTGAATCTTCAAAAATAGAGAGACGATCATAATCAACGAAATCTTTGAAGTCTTCATTGTCAGAATCAAAAAGATCAAGTTTTTCGTGAACAGTACCTGTCATAATTAATTCATATGTTGGCCATAGCTTAGTTAATAAAATAAAAACAAGCAAATATAAATCTGATTCTTCCAGACTGTCCCAACATCTTAAGATAAACTCTATTACTTTACTTTGAGTTAATTGATGATTAATTGTAACGATTGAACAAATTTTGTCTACAATTTTTCTCTTATAAACAACACAATCAATTTTGTTGTAAAGCACGGTTAGCATGTCTAATTGAGCTGTATACTCAAAATAATTTTCAGAAGTTATCGATTCAGGATTTAACTCCCGTGCCAAGTAATCATCAACAACCTGTTTATATTTTTTTATCACTTTGACTTTAGAATTCAATTCATAATTTTCTGAATAATCTAAAGCATTCCTGGTCGGACCCAATAGACATGTTAAACATTTTTCAAAACCTTGCAAAGCTTTTTCTTGCACATTTTCAGAGTGATGCTCAAATAACATTGAGTAACAATCAAAAATTTGCGAGATGATTTTATCTTTTTCTTTAATTCTACTCAAAATTATAGGATATATCTCACTAGCTAAGTGACAAGCTAAAAAATCAATTTTAATTAAATCTTCTGG